CCAGACATTGAGTTGGAATTCGGTTTGTATGTTATTTGGTTTCTTTTCTCTTACCTTGCTTTTAGGCGTCCCTTTATGTTTGACTTTCGGTGACGTTTAATTATTAAAAGGCCTTGGGAAGGTAGTTTTCTTTGGGTTACATTTGTTTGATGTTACTATACTTCTTGTACTGGATATCGTTATTTTTTCTGTAGGTTTTTGGGGAGTTGCTCCTGTTGTTATCCACCTTTGAAATAAACTTTCTACCCTCTATCCTCTTTCCTGCCCGTCTTTTGAAGAACCATAACTTTTAGAATTTGGCCTTCTTAAAGCTATTTTTCCAGATTTTGTCAGGTGTGCTCATTTCTTTTTCTTTTGCCTTCCTCTGACGTCGTGTATTTTTTTCAAGATAGCCTGCTTCACGCTTGACGAATTCTTATCCTGCTTGAATCCAGTTGCGTGCTATTAAGAAGACTCTGATGGCGGCTGGGCAGCTGTAGTTTATCCTGTAATCCCAAGCATTTTGGAGGCTGAGGTGGGCAGACCCGCCTCCTGAACCCAGGAGGTTTGAGACCAGTCAAGGCACTGGCGAAGCCCTGTCGCTACAAAAATTAGCCAGGTGTAGTGTGGCTTATGCCTTGTGGTTCCAGCTACTAGGAAAGCTGAAGTGGGAGGATTGCTTGAGCCTGGGAGGTGGAGGTTGCAGTGAGCTGTGAGTGCCACTGCACTCCCAGCCTGAAGTGACATGAGTGAGATCCTCAAAAAAAAAAAAGAGAGAGAGATTGCTTTTTAATCTTTTCCTTTTCTTTTTTTTTTTTTTTTTGAGATGGAGTCTCACTTTGTCACCCAGGCTGGAGTGCAGTGGCATGATCTCAGCTCACTGCAACCTCCGCCTCCCAGGTTCAAGCAGTTCTGCCTGCCTCAGCCTCCTGAGTAGCTGGGATTACAGGCACCTGCCACCATGTCTGGCTAATTTTTGTATTTTTAGTAGACACAGGGTTTTGTCATGTTGGCCAGGCTGGTCTCAAACTCCTGATCTCAAGTGATCCGCCCATCTCGGCCTCCCAAAGTGCTGGAATTACCAGCGTGAACCACTGTGCCTGGCCCGCATTTTTCGACTGTGGAATTTTGTTTGATTCTTTTTTATTATTTTAATCCTTTTAAAAATTTGTCTGGTGGAATTCTGAATTTCTTCTGTGTTACCTTGAATTTATTTGAGTTTCCTCAAAGCAGCTCTTTTGAATTCTCTGTCAGAAAGGTCACATATATCTCTTTCTCTAGGGTTGGTCCCTGGTATTTAGTTCATTTGGTGAGATCATGTTTTCCTGGATGGTCTTGATACTTACAGATGTTCATTGATGTCTGGGCTTTGAGTAATTAGGTATTTATTGTAATCTTCTCAGTCTGGGCTTGTTTGTACCCATCCTTCTGGGGAAGGCTTTCCAGGTATTCAAAAGGACTTGATGATATGGTTTGGCTGTGTCCTTACCTATATCTCATCTTGGATTGTAGCTCCCATAATTCCCACGTGTCATGGGAGAGACCCAGTGGGAGGTAATTGAATCTGGGGGGCAGGTCTTTTCCCATGCTGTTCTTGTGACGGTGAATGAGTCTCATGAGAACTGATGGTTTTATAAAGAGGAGTTCCCCACACAAGCTCTCTCTTGCCTGCTGCTAAGACATGACTTTGCTCCTCCTTGCCTTCCACCATGATTGTGAGGCTTCCCAGCCACATGGAACTGAGTCCATTAAGCCTGTTTTTCTTTATAAATTACCCAGTCTTGGGTATGTCTTCATTAGCAGCTTGAGAATGGACTAATATACTTGGGTATTATGATCCATGCCATATCTGCTTTAGGGGACTTCCCAAGCCCAGTAACGGTGGGTTTCTTGCAGACTGTGGTTCTTGCAGACTCATAGAGGTATCGCCTTCAATAACATTCAGAAGAATTCTCTGGATTACCCCCCAGGTTCCAGGTAGGTCCAGAGATACTATCTTGGAGCCAGGGACATGAGTCAGAAACCTTAGGAATCTACCTGGTGTTCTATTCTACTGCAGCTGAGCTGGCACTCAAACTACAAGACACAGTCCTTCCCACTCTTCCCTCCCCTTTTCACAGGCAGAGGAGTCTTAGCCCGTGGCCATCACCACCACAGGCCCATGGGGAGTACTGCCAAGCTACTGCTGATGTTCACAAGGGCCAAGGGCTCTCTCGTGAGCTTGTCTTGAATGCTGCCAGGCTGGGACTCACCCTTCAGGGCAGTGGTCTTCCCTCTGGCCCAGGACAGGTACAGAAATGCCATCCCAGAGCCAAGGCCTGGAATAAGGTCTCCAAGAGCCCACTTGTTGCTCTACCCTTCTGTGGCCAAGCTGGTACCTAAAGTGCAAGCCAAAGTCCCCTTTACTTTGTCCTCTGCAAGAAGAAGGAGTCCCTCCCCATAGCCACCACAGCTGGGAATGCGCTGAGTCTCACCCGAGTCCCACAATGTATTACCTGGATATCACTCTGGCTATTCAGGGCCCAGGGGCTCTTTAGTCAGCAATTGATGGATCCTCTGAGGACTGGGCCCTTCCCTTCAAGGCAGTGGGTTCCCTTCTGGCCTAGGATGTGTCTAGAAATCAGAGCTAGGGCCTGGAAAGGAGGCCTCACACCTCTGCCTGGTGCCCTATCCTACTGTGGCTGAGCTGATTTTAGAGATGCAAGACAAAGTCCTCTTTATTCTTCCCTCTCCTTTCCTTAAGTATAAGGAGGGAGTCTGTTCTGGAGCTACAAGCTATGCTTCGGGGAGGGGTGATGCCAGCACTCCCTTAGCCACCCTAGCTGGTGTCTGAGTAGGTTGTGTATCCCCCATGTCCACTGCCTCCAAGCCCAGCACAGCTAGACCTTGCCTAGGAGTTGCAGTCCTTGTGGCCTAGACTGATTTTCAAGTTTGTTTAGGGCCCCAGAACACTTTAGTCCATGCTGGTGTGGCTTGCTGGAACTCAGGTTCCTACTGCTAGGATGGGTGATGCCTCTCTGGCTGTGGCTCATCTGAATGCTTCCTCTGTGGGTGGACATCAGCTCAGTTCAGCTTTCTACTGTGATGGGATGGCACTGAGTTCAGTGTAAAGTCTCACAGTTGCTGCACTGTCCCTCTCCCAAGTACACAGATTTTCTCTCCGCAGCACAGGGCCGCTGATGGGAGATGGGGGAGGGATGGCATTGGTGATTTAAGACTGTCTTTCCTACCCTCTTCGGTGTCCCTTTCAGTGAAACGAAGTTAAAACCAGCTACTGTGAGTGCTCACCTGTTTCTTGGTTCTTAAGAAGGAGGGTGTGTGTGTGTGTGTGTGTGTGTGTGTGTCTGTGTGTGTGTCTGTGTGTGTGTGTAGATAGTTGTTAAATTTGGTGTTCCTGCATGGGGGATGAGAAGGAGGGGTGTGTGTGTGTGTGTGTGTCTGTGTGTCTGTGTGTCTGTGTGTGTGTGTGTGTGTGTGTAGATAGTTGTTAAATTTGGTGTTCCTGCATGGGGGATGAGAAGGAGGGTGTGTGTGTGTGTGTGTGTGTGTGTGTGTGTGTCTGTGTGTCTCTGTGTGTGTGTGTGTGTGTGTGTAGATAGTTGTTAAATTTGGTGTTCCTGCATGGGGGATGATTGGTGGAGCTGTCTTTTTGGCCCTCTTGTTCCTGCATATTATCCATTTTTAAGAACTTTTTAATGTATTGCCAAACTATGTTCCACAAAGGTTTGTACAGTTATGAGTGCAGTTTAATTGCTGCCTGGATATTATTTAGTTGTAATTTGATAGGAGAAATCATTGTCTTTGATTCCTAAAGGAGTTAAACATTTTTTTTTCACTGCCTTAAGAACCATTTGTATCTCTTCTTGTGTAAAATATAACACAGGTTTCCAAATAGATACACTGTTTCTCCACAAAATGTGTAAGTTATTGCTGTCATATAGTACTTTGTAGTTTAGAAGTACTGCACTTAACGTTTCTCACAGCTTCTCTCTGTAGTGGCAGTTCAAATATAATAGATGAAGAAAAGTGAGGTTCAGAGAGATTAAATAAGTGGCAGAACTGAGACTAGAACCTAGGTTCTATGGCTTATGTTTCTTTGTTTAGAGATCATAAATGTTTACTTCTCAACTTTCTGAAGTTTAGAAACAAAGCTCTGGGTAATTGCTTTCCTTAGTAATGCTAAATACTTTATAGGTCTTTTAGAAATTTGGTTGTAATTTCTATAGCACACTGATAGAAACATTTTTCATCTTTATGGCTATATGGCTATATATAGTTTTTCTTTATGATGACCACTTAAAAGCAGTTGAGTACTTTTACATCAGACATTTCAAAGTTATGTATTTTATTAGAATTTTCAGTGGCCAAAAAGTAGCGTCTTTTTTCCTTTATATTGTAACTTCATTCAGGATTCAAAGTTTCGATGGTAAAATTTCAATAAGTATTTGTTGTCTTCCACAGTGTATCATAAGGAAGTATTTTATTGAACTATTTTTTAAATATTGTCCAACTGAAAACCAGAAATATCACTTAGGTCTCAATGTAAAATATTTAACTATTTTTTAAAAATTAGGCTAAATGATGTTCAGGGAATGGGCTTAAAGAAAAGAGAACAATGTTGTTTGTTTCAAGTAGGAAAATGATTAACAGGATCTTACTGGAAATACAGTATGTGAAATATTGCAAGAGACAAAGCTTACAAGGAGAGGAGTTCTGAAGTCGGGTAAAACTAATATTTTTATGAAAATTGATTATTTCCATTTTTTAATTGATGTGAATAATTTATAGGTACAGTTCTTAAAATATGCCTAAGGTCCTTTATTGAATTTATTATTTTGTTCTCCCATTTATTCAAGCCCAGGCAACATTATATAGTTTTCCCCCTTTATTTAAGAAAGCTTTCTAGATAACTGCTAAGAATTTCATTTCTTTTTTTAAGAACTGGTATTGTCTAAAAGCTTTGAGAAGTATTAATGTGTTATCATAAACTTTAATTAAAATACAATTTTTAATTTTTGTAGTTGGCTTGGACACCTTTTCTGGCTGCATTCAGTGTGGGTCTACAAGATTGTGATGATACTGAAGTAGCCTCTCTTTGCCTGGAAGGTATAAGATGTGCAATCAGAATTGCATGCATTTTCAGCATTCAGGTAACAGAGAATTTTGTCTTTGTAGCCAGTTTGGAACATTAATTATGCCATTACAATAGTTTAAATTACAATAATTGTTTTATGTGTGACATTAAAAACTAATTTCAAGTTTATGATGGAATTTAAATGAATCTTAATGTTTAAGCTTCTGAGAGGCTGTTATGGAAGGGGTAGTTCTATACTGATCTGTCTAAAGTTTATCATTATAACTTCGGTTACAGTTTTTTGTCTTATTGAAGATTATATAAAAAGTTTTCAAGACTTTGAATTCCTGTGTTAATTTGAACATCTTGTTTAAACATATAAAATATTTTATTGAATCAGTTTATATACAAGCATGTATATATTCTGTATGATTTTGTAACTTAAGCCTAAGAGCAGGTTATCTTTAAGACATGTAAATATTGAATACATACTTTTCATGAAAGAAGTCCTTTCTAGTAATTTATATGCTTTGAGGAACTTTTCTTTTAAAAAAAGAAAAATGCATTCAACATTTAATTATAAATGCTAATGGCTTGCAAAAAGTATAGCGTAGCTGTGGAGAAAATGAGCAAATGTATAAATCATGTTTTTGCTCATCTACATAGTATTCAAAACAAAAGTGCTTAGTGAATTTTTTTTACTGTATGAATTCATTGGTTATCACTAAAAGTCTCGATTTGACACTACCACTGGCTTTGGATTTTAGAAATGTGTCTTTTCTGCTTCATGTGTCATCTTAAAATGAATGAAAATAAAAAAAACTTTTGTGAAATTATATGTAATTCATGACAAGTAAAACTTACTGAAGTTACAAGTTACTGAACTTACGAGTTTAGGAGTGGAGGTTTAATAGGCAAAAGAGAGAGAAAGGAGGGCTGGGCACGGTGGCTCATGCCTGTAATCCCAGCACTTTGGGAGGTCGAGGCAGGCAGATCATGAGGTCAGGAGTTCGAGACCAGCCTGGCCAACACAGTGAAACCCCACCTCTACTAAAGATATAGAAAATTAGCTTGGCATGGTGGTGGCCACCTGTAATCCCAGCTACTCGGGAGGCTGAGGCAGAAGAATCACTTGAACCTGGGAGGCGGAGGTCACAGTGAGCTGAGATCACGCCATTGCACTCCAGCCTGGGTGACAGGGCGAGACTCTGTCTCAAAAATAAATAAATAAATAAATAAATAAATAAATAAATAAACAAACTTACTGAACAAGTAAAGAGAGTTTGTTAGTGGGGAATTAATCAATCTGCTCTTATTTACAACTGTGTAAATATACTTTTCTCTTTTTTATAGCTGGAGAGAGATGCATATGTCCAGGCACTGGCAAGATTTACCTTACTCACAGTGAGTTCCGGTATTACTGAAATGAAACAGAAGAACATTGACACAATAAAAACACTTATCACAGTGGCTCATACAGATGGAAATTATTTAGGAAATTCGTGGCATGAGGTATAAGCACTTTCTTTATTTTCAGCTTTGCAATTTGGTTTATAAGATGAGCTAATGCTAAATAGTCCATCAGTGAAATGCCTAAATGTTTGGGGAGAAAATTAGTACATTTTGAATAAGTACATTTAGCTTTTTAAAATAATCTATAATGTAGTCTGTGTTTAAATTCTAGCTGCATATATTTAAATCTTTTTGAAGATATTTTTAACATGGAATTTAACATTTTTTTCCTTTTTGTAATTAAGATTCTGAAGTGCATCAGTCAGTTGGAGCTGGCACAGCTTATAGGAACTGGAGTGAAACCTCGATACATTTCTGGAACAGTGCGAGGCAGAGAAGGATCTCTTACTGGAACAAAAGATCAGGCTCCTGATGAATTTGTGGGTTTAGGGCTAGGTGAGAATTTTTACAAAGTATCAAAAATTGTTTTTAACTTCCTCATTATAAGTCAATTTATTGTAGTAATGGAATATAATTAGAGGGAGAAGATAAAATGCCTTTTGTCTAACCTTATGAGAAAAAGTAAGATGACTTGCCTGGTCTGGTTTGCAACATTAAATGACCCTTAGTTTCAGGCTTCTTCCTGGTTGTTGGAGAAGAATACAGTGCGTAGGGTTTTTAAATTACCTGCTTTTAAGAATAAGCAGGTAACTTGAATGTGTGAAAGCTGGGATCAGATAATAGTTGGGGCAGCTGGAGAAAGCATTCACATTCAGAATTGTTAAGGCAATGAGCAGGCTTAACCAGACTTTTCTGCCAGTCTGAAGCCTCTCCCAGTGGCTCCCCATGCGCTTAATATGACCAGGAACTTTCACATTTAACCCAGTAGAACAAAAGAAAACATTAGCAAAAATGGACAGAGAAGAATGAAAAGCAATACATTTTTTAGTCATAAATGGAAGGACTTCCACCAGGGAAGAAACAGCTTATTAGACTTTGACCTTAAGTATTTCTGGGTTTGAATTCTTCTGTATTTTTTCCTTATTATATGTAAGTTACTTTAGTTCGCTGATATTCGATTTCTGCTTTTGCAAACTAAGAGTAATATCTAATCACAGAATTGTTAGGATTAAATAAGAATATATATTAATGGACTTAGCATAATGGCTGATATAGTAGAAGTTTCTAGATATTCTCTCTCCATCCCTCCCCAACCCACACCTCTAACCAATCTGGACTCATTACTTAGAGCAGGAATCTTCTATCTTTTAGTGATTCCTCTGTTGCTGCTAGCAATACAAATTCTTAGAAACCCCAAAAGAATTTCAAACTTTATAAAGGATCCATAGGAAAAGAAGTAAAAACCAGGACCACATTATGGCTTCAAGTTGAACTGGGGAAAACTAATTCCCGGTGGTAATCAACTGAAGCAGCTAGCAGTACAGTCTGTCCCTCCATGGTAGCATAGATACTTCAGTATTGTAAGGTCTGGGAGGTGCAGGTGTAGACTTGATACTTTGGTGATCTAGCAGCAAGATTTAGAACTACCTGAGCACCTGCACAATGACTTACATAACTTGGAAGCCCAACTCTGTACATTAGAACTGTAATTACTCCATGGGGTAACATGAGATACAGATGAAAACTATTTTCAGGCAAGGAAGTAAATGTGCACTGATTGGTTCAGTAACTTTGAAAAGGCCTAGAGAGTGTGGGAATGCCAAAATAATGACAGGTGTTAATTGCTGGGCCTGAGTTTTGGCAAGTAGAACTACAGAATTAGATTACACTAAAAATAAAACACCAGTGGGATATCTTCTAGAAGTTTTAGTCAAATGAGAAATAATGATACTTGCTGATAATATTTATTGGTATACTTGAAAATGAATTAAAGTTAATTCATGTACTGTGCTACTTAGGTTGCAAGGATATGAGATGAACTGTCTTCTCCCTTCAGAAAAAGGGAATTTGCAGAAAGATACACACATTGAGGCCTAGAAGTGAAAAACAGTTCAGCCTTCCAGGCCACTCTCAAGACCAGTAACACTTATTTTATGCCTTATTTAGGTTTTCTCTGTTATGTACTTTTCTTTTTGGTCTGCACCATTCTCTACTCACTCCTGACTCATCACGCTCCATTTTTGAATCTACATCCTAGAAGGAGCTAGGCTGTTGACTTGGCCCCTGTTGGGCAGAGCCCTCCCGTTGGGCCATCGCGTTGGTTACCAGCCAACCCATGTGACAAATGGCTACCCTTGTCCCCCTGTGCCTCCCAAGGTCAGACAGCAGATGCTTTCTGGAGCAGAATGTTGTCATCAGAATTTAAGCTAGAAGAAGATGTGGTACAGTCAAGCCAGTTTAGTCTGCATATACAGTGGACATATATATATGTATATAGTTTTAAACTAATCCTCTTTTTATTTTTTTGAGTCAGAGTCTCACTGTGTCGCCCAGGCTGGAGTGCGGTGGCGCGATCTCAGCTCACTGCAACCTCTGCTTCCTGGGTTCAAGTGATTCTCCTGCCTTAGCCTTTTGAGTAGCTGGGATTACAGGCGTGTGCCACCATGCCTGGCTAATTTTTGTATTTTTTTAAATAGAGACAGGGTTTCACCATGTTGACCAGGTTGGTCTCTAACTCCTGACCTCATGTGATCTGCCCGCCTTGGCCTCCCAAAGTGCTGGCATTACAGATGTGAGCCACTGTGCCCGGCCATATCCTCTTTTATAAATGGTATCTCTGCCGAGTATTCCATGTAACCAAGTTGATAGGGTTGAGTATATATTTATCATACTTTCTGACTGATAGTAAAAAAGTCTATACTTTCACTTTTTTGAAATATGAAGCTTTCAGTTATTAAGAATACATAGTAGATAATTATTAAATTTGAATTATATGCATTCTTTTTTTTTTCTATTTTTTTTAAAGACAAGGTCTCACTCTGTTGTTGAGGCTGGAGTGCAGTGGCACAGTCAACTCCTGGACTCAACTTTTTTTTTTATTAAAGTTAGTAAAGTAAAAGCTTGTCCCAGGCTTTCACTATGGTTTCTTTTTTTCCTATTTCAGTGTGTTGCCCAGGCCTGTTTGAAACTCCTGGTCTCAGGTGATCCTCTCACCTTGGCCTCCCAAAATGCTAGGATTACAGGCATGAGCCATGGCACCTGGACTGCATGTGGGTCTTTCAAGAGATATGTTAACATTTAAAAATTCAATGGCTTTGTCACATAAATGGTCAGAGAGTATTCATGACACACACTTTTAAAAATTTTATTTAACCTAAATATGCCCTCTCTATTGTAATTGCTTTTCTTTCTGCTTTCTTTTGTACATAACCATCCTTCTACGTCTAGGTTGAATGAATTTTTCATCATATGTGAAACCTTTCTTTGAGCTAACATCCGTGTTCTCTTGTGTGCTTTTGAGTAAATTTGACAAAACTGAAACTCTTATTAAGGGATTTCACATATTTGTGAAATGGGTTCTATGGATTCCTAGACATTTTATGTATTCTTTGACTCCTTTAAATATTTTTTATTAATGATTTTAAATTTTTGTATTTAAATATAAAGAACATTTTGACACGTATGTGTGTGTGTGTGTGTATTTCCCCCCCCCCCCACAGAATATATGTATTTCCTCTGTGAAAAGGATATCCTGTTGATACACAAAGGAAGTTACCTCATGATTGGCATTGTTTTTTTCTCATAGGTTTTTCTTTGTAAAATTCCTGTAACATGCTGTGCATGTCGAGTTTGCCTTGAAACTTTCCCTACCAGCCCAATACTGTGTCACTTACTTCAGGCTTTCATTCTTGTTCACTTGTATTATAGGAGTAGACTTTTAATTTATCTCTGATTTCAATATTTTTTCCTATTTCAGTATGTTCTCCAGATATTACCAGTGTTGTCTTTTGGAAAATAGTTTAGATCATATCAGTCTTCTAAAAGATCTAATAAATCCCTGTTTTCAAAAGTAGTACATTAAACCTAAGGGTCAAGGCTCTTCACATTCTTTTTTCTAGTCTGTGTTTTCAGCTTTATCTCCTACTACTATTCTTTTCCCTTCTTCCCAGTGTCTGCCAATCCTTCATTATGGCTATACTACCAAGTATGTGAAAACGTGTTGTACAGTTGTATGTTTCCACTACTTTATATAGCTGCCCCCTCTGTCTCAATTGCTTTTCTTTCTCCTTCCTTTTCTACATAGTTATCCTTCTAGGTCCAGGTTGAATTAATATTTCATCATATGTGAAGCCTTTCTGTGAGCTAACACCCCGTTCTCATCCCTATCAAAATTAGTTCTATTTAGCAAACTTTTATTCTATGTAATTAGTTCATTTCAGCCATGAAGTAATCATTAATTGCATTGAAGTTAATTATAAACATATCTATCTCCTCTCCTGGTGTAAATTATTAACTCGAGGACAGGGGTTACATCTTTTTCACATCATTCAGTTCCTAGGATAGAATTTGAGTTCAGCAGGTTTAAATGATACCATCTGTTATGTTTGCCTTCAGAAGGGCATTTATTGAGTGTTTGGTCACTCGGGTCAGGTGTTTGTAGAGCACCTGCTTTGGACTTAATTGTGAGTAAGGTAGGAAAGTACAAAATGTATATTACTTGATTCCTAACCTTAGGAAACTTTTTATCTGGTTATGAAGGCAACATTAACACACCTGAAATAATTTGTATGAAACTGTATGAAAGTAATTCTGATTTGAGTAGTACTTAGCTAAGTAAATGCTTAATTCAAAGGCAGATGAGAACAATGGAGAGGAACTTTTCATTGAGAACCCAAATTGAGTCTTGGTAGGTAAGTTTTAGATAGTTGAGGGATGGCACATTTTGGCTAGACAGTTGAAGGGAAGTGCTTTAAATGCTAGGCTAAAGAGTTTATATTTTACCTTGTAAGTAACAGTAAGCAAAATGAAGGAGAAGATTTAGGAAATAATCTTGCAGGGGGATGAAAGAGAGATTGAAGAGGGAAATAATGGTGGGGAAATCAGTGAGGAAATGGCTTCAGTAATCTAGGACTGAGATGATGAGGGCCAGAACTAGGTAGGAATGGAAATGAGATGATATGAAAAACAGATCAGAAGAAAAATTTAGTGACTAGTTGAATATTGATAGTGGAAGAGGATACCAAAGGTGATTCTAAAATTAAGAGTTTGAAAACTGGGAATATTGTTGTTCTCTCCAACACATGGAGCCAGTTTCAAGGGAAAAGATAAATGATTCTTTTCAATAAAAGAGTGTTAGAAAATACAGGTAGAATTTTCAACTAACTGGCCAGGCGCAGTGGCTCACGCCTGTAATCCTGGCATTTTGGGAGGCCGAGGCGGGCGGATCATGAGGTCAAGAGATCGAGACCATCCTGGCTAACACAGTGAAACCCCGTCTCTACTAAAAATACAAAAAATTAGCCGGGCGTGGTGGCAGATGCCTGGAGTCCCAGCTACTCGAGAGGCTGAGGCAGGAGAGTGGCGTAAACCCAGGAGGCGGAGCTTGCTGTGAGCCGAGATCGCGCCACTGCACTCCAGCCTGGGCGACAGAGCGAGACTCTGCCTCAAAAAAAAAAAAAAAGAATTTTCAACTAACCTTTGTAAATAGGGGACTAGAGATTAAATGACAAGGGAAGTCTAAATACTTGGAGTTGGAATCATCCTCAGAAGGTATCATTGGAACTGGAATTAGTGCTGCATTTCTTTAAACATTAAAGGAAATTATATCTAACATCTATACTTTTGTGATATAAATTCACAGTGCCCCTACTTTGTGTGATCTTTACAAACATAGTTTGTGACTTGTAACCATGTGTTGTATACTACTTAGTAAAGTTCATTTGCACATTTGGCCTTGATAAGTGTCACTGATGCCAAAAGAATTGTTCACCTGAAACATTCTTTTATTAGGAAAACAGTTGATTTCAGAATTATGTTTTAGAACTGTTAAGTGTATTCTTCTACTGAATTATTTTCAAACTGAAATGACTCTTTTTTATGTGTGGTAGTTGGAGGAAATGTGGACTGGAAACAGATAGCAAGTATTCAGGAATCCATTGGAGAAACCAGTTCTCAGAGTGTTGTTGTTGCTGTAGATAGGTAAGGTATTCATTTTATTCCCTTTTCAGATGATTGCTATTTCAGTTCTGTAGCATTTAGGTATTTTCTTATTGGTAAAAAGAAAAAAATTATTGCCAAAATCATTTTCCTAAAGTAATATAAGATTATATTGTGATATGCTGTGATTTAGATGATGAAGTATCTATAATTTTGCTTTTTGGATCATAGTTACAATAAGATATTAGTGGGCATTTAAGTTACAGTAGATATTAATGGGCATTAAGGAAATGGTAACCTTGATGGAAAAGAATACAAATGTTTTATTTTCTTGTAGAAAACGTACTCCCTTTATTATCCCTATTTGAAAATGTTGTGTAGTTTATTTTTCTGGGTCCACAATAAAGACTGCATTATGGATGAAATGAAAGGTTTTATTGGCAATTCTCATTATAAACTTTTTTGGAAGGGACTTCAGAATTTATGTTTTATACACATCACCACATATTCCCCATTTTTAGTTTGTTTTCTAAAAGAAAACCCATAGTATGCTTTATTTACTACAGAATATTTCCAATTTTAAAATGCCTAGCATGTAGAACAATATCTCCTGTTGTTCTTTTGAAGATTAGCTTTTTCCAGATAAATGCCCCCAAAACTGAAACATTTTACAGCAATGGTTTTTCATTTTCTTCTTCCCTCTCCCTCACTTGTGATGGAAACTTTCAAAAACGTAATTTTGTACAAATCTTTCCTTGGTAGTCTGGAAACTCATGCTAATCCATTATTTCACTTTACTTCAGATAAAATTTTTTGCTCTAGGTACAGGTAGAACTAGAATATTCAGTTCAGTGGCCACTGACCCTGGAAGTACTCCATGAAACTTTTTCCTTGAATCCTTAATGTCCACTTGCCTTTTTTTTTTTTTTTTTTTTAAGAGGAGTCATTTGCCTGTTTTTTTGTGAAGATTGAAGAAAGATTATCTCATACCTACTATATAACAAACATGAAGGCTTGCCACAGATGAGGCACTTGCAAAACGCTTTACATTTAATCCTTTCAGTAGCCTGATGAGATGCGTATTCTTGTCCTCAGTTTACAAATGAGGAAACTGAGACAGAAAAAGATTAAATAACTTGCTCATTCCCACAACTAGACTTGTAATAAGCATGCATGCTTAACCTTTCAGCCTACATGTACTACTGCAGAGCTATGTAATAGCCCTTCTGCTACCTGGCTAGCTTTCTTGTCAATGATTTTCTTGCCTTCAAGAAAAATCATCTTCACTGTCATTTTGAGAATCTATTCAGGCATGATTCAACATTTTACCTACTATTTCTGCTTTTATAATGTACTTTATGTGACCACATCTAGTTCTAATTTATCTTCCTATCCACTGTTTGTTACAGAGGGACATATTACTCATTTGAAATTACATGCCTCTCTGTTTTAAGAGTTTATGCTATTTCAGAGGAGACTTAGCATACATTTTGTTCGTACTTTGTCATCACAATCTTGTCATTGCCAGATACTTCTACAAACATAAATCCAATGTCAAATTTTATACAAAACCTCAGTATTGCAAGTTTTTGCTTATAGTGAAAACACCAAAAGTTATATATTTGATCTCTTATAATGTTATATTATTCTTAAGTGGTATATTTCACTTTCCCATTAAATGTTTTTTGAATATCTGAGTTTATTTTCATATCGTTATGTTCAAACTTTGGTCCATTACCCAACTTAGTGAGATAATACTGGTAGTGAAGACAGTAGTGAAAATAGTGTCAGGCATCAGTCTGGAGAGTTCTGTACTTATCCAGCAAACAGTATTTTCCTATCCTTAGGCCTATTTTTCTGCATAACCTGTTGTTATAAGTACAGGAACTAAAGAAAAACAAAAATAATTTTTGTATGTTTAATTCTTTATAGCTTCTGGTTTATTAACCAACAGAAAAAAATAAGATTTTATTACAGACTTTAAGGTGATAAAATTTTCTAATTATTTACTTTTGTATTAGGAATCTTGTATTATTGGGATATAGGAGAAGAATTTTGGGCACTTCAATCTGGGAATAACTGATCTTCTAGCATTTGCTGGGATAGAATTTTTTATGCATTGTTAAATTAGACCAATTTCATAATGAATATTACTAAACTATGCAGGAGATAGACTTTGTCCATGAATAGTTTATTTTTAATAGGTAAAAAACAGTTATTTAGCATCGTAGTTTTTCTCTTTATGGTTTTTTATACATACCAGATCTAGCTATAAACTGGCTTACCTCACACTTTGGAATATTTCACCTATCAGAAAATATGTACAACTCATCCCAACTTCCTTTGCTCGTAAATACTTTTCATTTAGGCCTAAGAAATAAATGTTACCTCTAATATATTCACTGTGAAAAAACCTTTTACAGGTAAGATAATATAGGCTGCTTGTGTATTGCATACAGTTTAAAAGTTGATTTGATGCAGAATCTGCAAAAGTTTTGCCAACCTTTTTTTGTTTTTCCATCTGTATTATAATGTGATGAAGCAGTAATCTTACCAATGTTTTTTTTCTAATGCTTTTTAAAAAGCACATTATTTTTAATATTCGTAAACAAGGTTCTTGTGCTTCTGTCCTTTGCTTTTTCTATGGAAAATGTAGAAACCATTTCATAGGCTGATTTTATGAAACACAGCTCTGTTCTCTTGCCTTAATATTAAGGCTTGACTTTAAATGCCCCCACAGACTGCTGTGCTCTACCATATGGCTTATCTTTAGTGGAGCATTACTAGAATAGAGTGACCCCCTCAGAGGCTATGGTAGTGAGTAGGAATTGGGATGCCCTTTCTCAGAATGGATGCTCCCCCGACCTTCCACCATCACACCAGTCCACAGATGTCTTATTACTGATGATAGTTCTCTCTCCTGTTGCCTTTGTTCTCCGTTATTTCAACACCTTCAGAATCTATTGCTTCCCTTCTGTGTGGTTCCATCTCTGCTTTTGTTCTTTCTTTACCTCTGTACTGTTTGCCATTTGCTTTCTTCTCAGTTAAAAACTCTTTTTTTCTTTGTTTTTGTTTATGTGCCTTTTCTTCTCCTATACTATTTACTTTTCACTCTATTAGTGGGTGGCTTGTTTACAACCATTGCCTTCCATGAGAATACCTGTAGTTTGAGAAATCAGCTGACCAAATTCATATAGTCTGGCAGTTTTCATTTTTGTTTATGTGAGAGCTCTGTAGACGTTGTATATCTTTAATTTCTGGGTCCAGTCTAATCCCTGGATTAAGTGGGGCCATATTACTTTTGATTTTTCCCCCAGATTGTGTTTTCTGCCAGATTTTGGAATTACTGCTTCATTCTGCTGACAAGAACAATATAGAAAATCTTAATACATTTCTTTAGCAGGAACTCACATTCTGAGTCATCGTGTTACCAGTTTCTAACTGTTTTTCCTGTATGGTTTTTTACTCATTGCCAGGACACATAGACAGACATGCAAGGACACTAGGGTTAAAAAATCATGATATACTCAGAACATGTAGATTGTGATAGTAGGAAAAAAGGAGAATATATTTAAAGGGTTGAATATACGTTTTGCTCAGGTAAGTGTGAGGCAGTATAGAAAAGTGGTTAATAGCATAGACTCTGTAATCACCCTGTCCTGGTTTGAATCTTGGCTTTAGCACTTAAGTTATTAAATATCTTTATCCCTCGGTTTCTGTGTTTATAAAATTGGGGGTTAATAGTACATGCTTTGTAAGGATCAAATGAGTGAATATTGATACTACACTAGAAAAGAACCCACCTTGTGATTGGTAGCTATTACTGTTATTACTGTGACTACTGTGACCTGCTCCTGTCTTTAAAATTTTCCTTTTTATCATGCAAATCATATTTCTTGCATTCTAAGTTGAGGAATGTCATCCTTCTTGAAAGTGACTTCAGACTCTTGGTTACAAACCCAGAATATGGGTTAAAAATGCAGATTTTAAAAAAGGAGGACTAATGTGTTTATGCTGAAATCATTTATGAAACTTTGAAACAAAAAAAGAGCTCAGCAAAGAAGAATGGGCAAAGCTAGGCAGTGTTAGCTTAACTCGAAATATTTGAATGCCCTAAGGAAAGTGGTTTGGCCAATTCTTAGGTAAACTGAGACTATTTACAAGGTTATATTAAATCACTTTTAGTGTAAATGAACTTTCTAATCAAATATACTTCACTGGTAAAAATGAGTCAAGTTTTTCATTTTAAGAACTTCAATGCTAGTCGATAATCAGGAAAGAATCTGTAGTATGCCAATTATTTGTTAGTTTTACAAATTAATATTTTTCTTATTCTTAGAATCTCATATCTATCTGGAGTTTGTAAATCTAATAAAATTACGGCAGTATATACTTACTCTAATAATAATATTGAATGCAAACTGGCTCATATGGAGTAGAGGTGGAAGGGCGGGAGAAGCATCCAGACTACACTTGTTACTAAACTAAATGATGAAAAATACTCATTTGAGTACCCAATTTTTTGTTCCCTTAAAACATAAAAATAGCTAGTACCCCATGCCACGTACTTTTCAATTGGAATAAGAACAGTAATTTATACATTTTTTAAATTGTGTTTTATTTTCCCTAGAATATTCACAGGATCTACAAGGCTAGATGGAAATGCTATTGGTAAGTATGGGCATTTATTCTACTTCGGAACTGGCTTTGGGCTAAAATAACTTTAATGTTGGGCTAAAAAAATATAAATATATTTATGTTACAGTGGATTTTGTCCGTTGGCTCTGTGCTGTGTCTATGGATGAATTACTTTCCACGACACACCCAAGAATGTTTAGTCTACAAAAAATAGTAGAAATATCATATTACAACATGGGAAGAATAAGATTGCAGTGGTCTCGAATTTGGGAAGTTATTGGAGATCATTTTAATAAGGTATTTGAATAAGTGTGGTATTTGTTTACATTTGTAGTATGTTTTTTGTTTAGAATGTCTTTGTAATCAAATTGAGCCTTTTTCCCTTCCAAGCAGTTATTTATTACTTTTTAATATTAAATTAGAAAACCCTGTGAATGGTGTTTTTCTTTTTAGAAACTGTTACTCTGGGCTTTAAGAATTTGATGTAAAATGTCTGTTTTTCTTGTTGAGAAATATTTTTAGCATATTTAATGCCTTTATGGAAAATCTTAGGATTTACCTATCTATGCTATTCTATGCTTTTTCTAAGACAAAAAATAAAGAATTGCAGATTTTTACTGCTGATATTAATTAGCATCTTTTATTTCTGTCACCATTACAGGTTGGGTGTAATCCTAATGAAGATGTAGCTATTTTTGCAGTAGACTCCTTGAGGCAGTTGTCAATGAAGTTCTTAGAGAAAGGGGAGCTTGCTAATTTCAGATTCCAGAAAGATTTCTTAAGACCTTTTGAACATATAATGAAACGGAACAGGTACTATATTTGTTGAATTGCTTAACAGTAGGAAAATCTTGTTGTTTTCCACAGCAGGGAGAAAAACAGAAGAAAGGGGGAAAAACTGATGAGTTTTATCTGTTTGCATATCTAAGCAATTACATTAATGTTTTTAGGTCTCCAACAATTCGAGATATGGTTGTACGGTGTATAGCACAGATGGTTAATTCTCAAGCTGCTAACATTCGATCTGGATGGAAGAACATTTTCTCTGTATTTCATCTAGCTGCATCTGATCAAGATGAAAGCATAGTGGAACTTGCATTCCAAACAACTGGGCACATTGTCAGTGAGTATTGTCTTAGCTGTGTTCAAGTAAAAGGGAAAAAAAAGCAACCTTAATGTGTTAGGAAGATGAGTCAAGTAACAATAAGATTATGGCCTTTAAGTTTACCAAGTTTTGTCTACAGAACCCCAGAGTAAATAAAAATAATTAAATTACTATTATAGTTAACATTTATTGAGTATTTACCATACGGCAAATACTGTATGCACTTTTCATGTAATTTCTTTAATCTTCACAGTTAAGCATCTTTATTATCCATCCCTTTTTTCAAAATGGATTAGGAAACTCAGCCCCAGAAAGGTTAAGCAGTTTATGTAAGGTCACAGAACTAGTGATGGAGATGGTCTTGAGACCCACAGAGTATTAAAGCAAAGCCTTTATTTTTGACCAGTAAGTACATTGCACAGCCTTCTTCAAGGAGGAGTCCCATTAAGTTCAAGGGGGACTGACTGAAATACTAAGATTATAAGTTAAGCCTATATAGAAGATGACAGTGATGACCATCAACATCAAGAGTCATGGCATCATCATAGCTGTCATTTATTGCATGCTTGCTTAAGTATTATGCTAAGCACTTCACTTACATTATTTTGTGTAGTGCTTACAGCTATCCTGTGTATATTATGATTATTTCCATTTTATATCAAGAAACCGAGATACAGAGAGGTTAAGTAATTTTGTATATTCATTCAGCCAAAGTTGAATCGGTACGTACTGTGTACCAGTCACTGTATTAGGTGCTATGTTTATAATGTAAACAAAACAGACAAGTTTTACTATTCTCACCACTCAGGGCAGTCAGGTTAAGTGGGAAAGATAGTCTTGAACTTCATATCTGTTGGATGTCAGAGCCTTTAATAACCTTTAAGGAAGTGCATTACATCTAGATGTTGGTGTATTTTTGGTACAGCTAAGAATAATTGAAAAATTATGGTAATATGTATTTTTCTCTATTTTAGCCCTTGTATTTGAAAAACACTTTCCAGCGACCATTGATTCTTTCCAGGATGCCGTGAAGTGTTTGTCTGAATTTGCGTGCAATGCAGCTTTCCCAGACACAAGTATGGAAGCAATTCGACTTATTCGCCATTGTGCAAAATATGTGTCTGATAGACCTCAGGTATAGCGTCATTTAGTAAACAAAATTTTGCAGAGTATTCTTTCCAATTTGAAATCTTAAGTTTGTTTGGGAATTGAGGGTATATGAAGCATTTATTTTTCAGTAATTCGAAAAATAATCTGAGCAGCCTGATTCCGAGTTAAGATGGTTAGTGATTATAACTAACCATTATTGAAAGTGTTGGGTATTTTTCTGAGTGGTTTTCATTAAATTGTATTAACTTGTTTAATCTTCTAATGACTTTATGGGATAGATAGTGTTATAGCCCCATACGGATAAAGAAACTGAGGGAGGCACAGAGAAGTTTCAAAATGTGCCCATAGTTTCAGGGCTAGTAAAGTAGAGCTAGGGTTTGAGCCCCAGCCTGTGTTTGTAACCATTCCCTACAGTGCATCTTGTCTGTCTGTGCTGTGTAATACTGAAGCTGACTGACTATGGATGAGAATAGGCTTAAGCTCTGAAGTAAAAGGTTGAATTGAAAATCTAGCTGCCATATTTAACTTGCATATTTAAATCTGTCTTTGTAACTATCATAAGAGAAAGTGATGTATCGTAGATTTGGTAATAAGATTTTATTCCATACTAACATGGACCGATCAGGTGCTTGGTATGTTTCAGGTATGTCAACACATTTTACCTTCATACTTCCCCAGTGTGGTTAATGTGGCTGTGTGGTATCATAACCATTTAAGTGATAAAAATGGAAACCTGAATTAACCTGGGTAATGATGCAGAAAACTGGTGACAGTTGAAAGTGAAGCTGACTTTTGGATGCTAGTCCAGAGCTCTTTATAGGCAGTTATATTTTGCCTGCTTCAGTGGCACGTATACTAAAATTGTCGGCAGTTATAGTGCCCATTTTTTATAAATTATTGTGTATTAAATTGCTCACTGGTTATTTGTGAAGCATTTAAATTATTTTTTGAGAAGTTAATATATTAAATGTATAGGTGTTACGTTTTGTCTTTAATTTGCCTTTAATAACCCTACCTTTTTTCTTGAAGGCTTTCAAGGAATACACAAGCGATGATATGAATGTGGCACCTGAAGACAGGGTGTGGGTGAGAGGATGGTTCCCAATTCTCTTTGAGTTATCCTGTATCATCAATAGATGCAAATTAGATGTAAGAACCAGGTAACAATCTATATTTGTAATTAAAATTTTGAATTTATTTTGACTTTAATCACATAACTCTTCTTTATAAACACAGTCTCACAGTTAAAGACCATAAAATCAAGTGTTTTGTCAAATATATTAATTAGTAGATAGGTATATTTTAAAATATGTTCATATAATTTTAAAATGTTAACTAGAGCAAAATAAAAATGGAAATACTACATTGTTTTTAAAATATTTGATTATAGCCTCCTTTTGATTTTAGCTTCTAAGTTAATTTGATCCTTTAAACATTCTGTCTTTTCATATATTTGTTTCCAATAATAAATTGAAGTTAGTGGCAAAATTTATTTTATTTCCTGATGAACGATAGAAGAATTTTTAAATGCACATCCTTGGTGAGTTTTAGGTGAAGAACCATTTCTTTTTGTAACCTGATCAGTAACATAGTTTGAAATAATATAGAACTATTCAAATAGAACTCTTTCAAAAGTATATTGCCAATAAAAGATCATTATGAACTTATAGTCAATCTGTAAAGGAACTATTCCGGGTATTATGTGACTGGCCAAGTGCTTAACACACTGTTCTTAGGTCACAGCTCACAGGACTCCCATAGTAGTTTTTTACCCTGTACTTTGCCACATTGAAATGGCCAGCTTGTGTGTCCTAATATCTGTCAACCTCTAAACGCACCGTGAGTTCAATTTTATGGTAAACAAAATCTTTTAGGAATCTTCCCTTCTCATTTGGAAGAATCTTCTGTTATTTGGATGTGTAACTTTATCTAATTTTTTGAATTTCTAAAGGTAGCACAAAATGAATCTCTTCTTTTTCACCTTATGCCAGAACCACACCCATGCCCCACCAAGGTTAAATTTGACTTACATCTCAAGAAATTTTTCATTTTTATAGTATTATTTGTTACAACAGAAATTCTTATGAAATAGATAATCCAAAATAGGACTTAACCCTTAGAAATTTTAATTATGAGAGCACTATAGAAAAAGAGTTTATTTTATATTTAGACACAGTGGATTGTTTATCAGTGGGCCTGTTAGGAAATTGTTGAAATTCAAGATAGCCCCATTTCAGTTGTCCAGCTGCCTCAGTGGAGCGGCTAACATATCATGACTAGCAGGTCATGAAAACTCAGCACCCTCTCCCCTCACCCTTTATTTATTTGTAGAAGTCTGTTTGATGGAGGATCCACCTGCTTTCTTAGCCTTCTGTTGCTTGGCACTGTGATACCTTATTTCTCACCATATTCCATGTTCAGGTTATGGGTAGATACTAGTTGTTAAAGATGTTGTGTGTGTTCCAGTTAGTAAAGGAGAGGGAAAAGATCAGTAAACTTTGTTCAGTGATGGCCTTTGATTTTCCTACCTCATCCCAGGATATGTATGGCCTGCTATTTAGCTTCCATTTTAAAATGTGGGCCGGATGCTGTGGCTCACATCTGTAATCCCAGCACTTTGGGAGGTCAAGGTGGGAGGACTGTTTGAAACCAACCTAGGCAACATAGTGAGACCCCATCTCTTTGAACAAAAAATTAACTAGGCATAGTAGGCATCCCTCTAGTTCCTGCTGCTCATGAGGCTGAGGCAGGATTGCCTAAGCACAGGAAGTTGGGGCTGTGGTGAGCCCTGATCACACCACTGTACTCCAGCCTAGGCAACAAATTGAGACTCTCCGTCTTTAACAACAACAAATAGTGCAGCACTATAATTGGTATAACACCGTGTGGAAAGAACTTCTCGTGTGCATTCTTATTTGATTCTTCCAAAATTCTCCAGATTTGGGGATAAATACCGAAAATTAAAGTCCCAGATGTAGTCAGGCATCATTTAATGACAGGGATATGTTCTGTACAATGCATTACTAGGCAATTTCAACATTGTGTGAACATCATAGCATGTACTTACACAAATCTAGATGGCATAGCCTGTTGCTCCATGGGTACAACTTGCACAGCGTGTTACTGTACTGTAGGCAGCTGTTAATACAATGGCGTTTATGTATCTAAACATATCTAAACAGGCTGGGTACAGTGGCTCACGCCTGTAATCCCAGCATTTTGGGAGGCCAAGGTGGGCAGATCACCTGATGTCAGGAGTTCGAGACCAGCCTGGCCAACATGGTGAAACCCCACCTCTACTAAAAACATAAAAATTTGGCCAGGCATGGTGGCTCATGCCTATAATCCCAGCATTTTGGGAGGCCCAGGTGGGCGGATCATCTGAGGTCAGGAGTTCGAGACCAGCCTGGACGACATGGTGAAACCCCTTCTCTACTAAAAATACAAAAATTAGCCGGGTGTGGTGGTGCGCACCTGTAATCGCAGCTACTCAGGAGGCTGAGGCAGGAGAATCGCTTGAACCTGGGAGGCAGAGGTTGCAGTGAGCTGAGAGTGCCACTTCACTCCAGCCCAGGCAACAGAGTGAGACTCTCTCAAAAATAAAAATTAAAAAATACAAATACAAAAATTAGCTGGGTGTGGTGGCACACGCCTGTAATCCCAGCTACTCGGGAAGGTAAGGCATGAGAGTTGCTTGAACCCGAGAGGCGGAGGTTGCAGTGAGCCAAGATGGCACCACTGCACTCCAGCCAGGGTGACAGTAAGAGACTCTGTCTCAGATAAAAAAATTCTATGTGTATATATATACATAGAAATGGTACAGTAAAAACATGATATAAAAGATAAAACCTGTATAGGGCACTTACCATGAATGGAACTCACTGGACTGGAAATTGTTCTGGGTGAGTCAGTGAGTGAGTGGGGAGTGAACGCAAAGGAGGCCTAGGACATTACTATGCACTACTGTAGACTTTATAAACACTGTAAACTTAGGCTACTCTAAATTTATGAAAAGATGTTTTTCTCCAGTAAAAAACTAACCATAGCTCACTGTAAGTTTTTTGCTTTATAATTTTTAAAATTTTAAAAAACATGACTCTTATATTAACATTTAGCTTAAAACACATTGTACAGCTGTACAAAAATATTTTCTTTATATCTTTATTCTATAAGCTTTTTTCTATTTCTATTTTTATTTTTTACTTTTTAGACTTTTTTGTTAAAAACTAAGACATAGACACACACATTAACCTAGGCCTATACAGAGTCAGGATCATCAGTGTCACTGTCTTCCATCCCCACGTCTTACCCCACTGGGAGATGTGTTACTTCAGGGGAAGTAACGCATAAGGAGCCGTCATCTCCTATGATAACAATGACTTCTTCCAGAATACCTACTGAAGTACCTGCCTGAGGCTGTTTTCCAAATTAACTTTTTAAAAATGTGTAAGTACAAGGAGTACACTTGCAAATAATGATGAGAGGTGCAGTAAATTAATCATTAACAAAATTGTTTATCATTATATGACTGGCAGTGCAGTAGGTTTGTTTACACCAATATCACCATAAACATGTGAGTAAAGTGTTGCCCTACGATCAATGAAAGCTACAACTACAATGTCACAAGACAATTGGAACTTTACAGCTCTATTATAATCTTAGGGGACCACTGGCTTATGTGCAGTTCATTGTTGACTGAAATGTCCTTATGTGGCACATGACTGTATTCTTTTTCCCTACACCAACTATTTAAGTATTGCTTTAAAAAAAAAAAAAAAGACATTTTCCACATTAAAAATCCTTGGAAACAATTGATCTCTGTGTTTACTTTGGGCCCTGGAAAAAACAGGATTGCCCATATCCACTTACTCCCAGCCATGAGAGGCAGCATCCTGTTACTTGGAGTGGGAGGGCATCGATACAGAGCTCAGCAGATGGAGGATGAGGGAGCCTTGTTCCATCGCAAGGAGGGAACGTGGGTTTAGCATCAGTGATGGAACTCTGACAGGCGTCCCCTGTGGAAGAGTTTCTTTCCCAGGAGTTTCTTTACTATGGTTTCTTTACCATTGCTAGTATTATATATTAGATATCTTAGGGATCCAATAGACCAGTGTGAATTTACTGTAGGTCTGAAGTATTGTAATGTTATTTTACACATTCATTTAACAAAAACTTGTTGAGAACCTACTATGTATGAGCCATCTACTAGGTTTGGGGATAGCATAACAGCAAATGAGTTCAGCTCTATTCCAGTCCTTATGAGAGCCTTTCAAAGAAAATTTTGTTCTGTTTTACTCTCAAACTTTGGGAAACATAAGCCATTTCTAAATTGGAGGATGCCTGTGTTTTCCCAGAAAAAGCAACAAATAGAGAAAAGATTAAAGTTTCTAATGGTTACATAAAAGTATTATTTCAAGAAACAGGAAGGAATGAAGAAGAAAGTTTTGAGTTTCAGTTTTAACACTTACACAAAAGCTACTCAATGTGATGCTAAGCAATTTATTTAGCAAATATTTATTGTTTGCCTTCCAGGCAATGAGCACTGCTGTGTGCCTGGGATATAGCAAGAAATGAAACACAGAAAGACCCCTTAGTGGATTTGTTTTGTAAATCCTTTTGTTTGGGGATGTTGCATGAATAAGGCTTCTAGTAGTGGGTGAAAATCCCCATAGTTCTTTGAAAAAGATTTTCCAAAATCTAACTTTTGTTTTGTTCTTAGACTGCTATATATGTATTTTCTTTTTTGGCTGTAGTACCACAAAATTAATATTCACTCAAACAATTATCATTTTCAATCTGTAATTCCATTTACAGTTTTTAAATGCTGCAATGGTGAGGTAAGAGTAAAGGAAAAGTAAAATTAAAAAGTTTATGGCCAAGACCTTTGGAGATTTTTTTTTCCTGAATGATATATCCTAAAGGAACCTGTTGTTCTTACAACTTAACTTTTTTAAAACCCAGTGTCGTGTGTTAATTTCAGACTAGTTTTAAGCTTTCTGGTTTTAGTAGCTTTGTGAACTATAAAAACTATTTTAGGAGGAGTATGCTTTTTTGTATTGTAGCTTTCTAATTGTGTTTTGTCATTTTAGGGGTTTAACAGTAATGTTTGAAATAATGAAAACATATGGCCACACTTATGAGAAACACTGGTGGCAGGATTTATTTAGAATTGTTTTCCGAATCTTTGACAATATGAAATTGCCAGAACAACAGACAGAGGTAAGAGGATACACAATTTTCATTTAGCTTAGTCAAGTTAAAAGATCCTCAGTATTATCATCAATACATTTTAGTGTTTCAAATTAAGTACAGAAGAGAATTCCTAGAAAATTTTTCTTTAAGGCATGAGAATATAATACTATGTCTTTATAAATAAGAACACTGGCTGGGCACAGTGGCTCACGCCTGTAATCCCAGCACTTTGGAAGGCCAAGGCGTGTGGATCGTCTGAGGTCAGGAGTTTGAGACCAGCCTCACCAACATGGTGAAACCCCATCTCTACTAAAAATACAAAAATTATCCAGGTGTGGTGGCAGGTGCCTGTAGTCCCAGCTACTTGGGAGGCTGAGGCAGGAGAATCGTTTGAACCCGGGAGGTGGAGGTTGCCATGAGCTGAGATCGTGCCACTGCACTCCAGCCTGGGTGACCAGCGAAACTCCGTCTCAAAAAAAAAAAAAAAAGAATGCTATGTGGGGGATAGAACTGAATTAATGAATTGATTTTTTTGTTCTGTTTTGTTTTTAGTGTTTTTCTGACTTTTCCATTTCTTTTCCTCGTTTCGACAGTCAAAACTATAAAACATCAGTAACTTTCTTTCTTTTTTTTTTTTTTTTTTTTTTTGAGACGGAGTCTTGCTCCGTCGCCCAGGCTGGAGTGCTGTGGCCGGATCTCAGCTCACTGCACCTCCGCCTTTGGGTTCAAGCGATTCTCCTGCCTCAGCCTCCCGAGTAGCTGGGACCACAGACGCCTGCCACCTCGCCCGGCTAGTTTTTTGTATTTTTTAGTAGAGACGGGGTTTCACCGTGTTAGCCAGGATGGTCTCCATCTCCTGACCTCGTGATCCGCCCGTCTCGGTCTCCTAAAGTGCTGGGATTACAGGCTTGAGCCACCGCGCCTGACCAATAACTTTCTTTAGTATTATATAGTGACTTCTTTTTTATGTAAAAAGTAAGGAATACAAAGTAAATTTTATTTATTTCAACATATTTTACTATGAACCAGTTACAATATACATTTTAGGAAACGTGTCAAGAGAGCTTCATATTTTCCCCTTTTGTTCCATACAGCAGTGTTAAATGCAGACTTCTGTGATTATTTTTTATGGGTTTGAAAAAATAAATTACACTTATTTTGTATAGCCCTTTTTTTATGGTGTTTTCAGATAACCATACTTCAGGAAAGTCATTTTTATTTTAAACCTATGCTAACCCCATTTGGACAAATTCTTACCTCCTTATTTCCCTTTCATGTTCTGTCATGGTCTAGAGCAAGGCCGGCTGTTGCTGTTCATGCACTTTGAAAAATCATAATGTTAATATCAAGATGATACGGTGATGGTTTTTTTTAATAATCAAAACAAATAGTGCCAAAAATAGTTAAATTATTGTATGCATAGATGGTTATGGGATAATGAGGAGCAATAGATACCAGATTTTAAGTTAAGGTGAATGTAACGTTTTAGAGGGAATTCAGTGGTCTAAAAGGAACACTGACAGCCTTACATTTTAAATATGAAAACATTTATATATATATATGTGTATATATATATGTATATCTTTTTAAATCATAGTAGTTGATTAATGGCATGATGTTCATTAACGACTTTTTTCCCCAGAAAGCTGAATGGATGACAACAACTTGCAATCATGCACTTTATGCAATCTGTGATGTATTCACTCAGTATTTAGAAGTACTCAGTGATGTACTTTTGGATGATATTTTTGCTCAGCTCTACTGGTGTGTGCAGCAAGGTAGGTCTGTACCAGATATGTGACACAAAGTGTTAAATGTGACCCTGGTAATATATAAATGAATTGCTCTTTTCTTTCCTAGACAATGAGCAGTTAGCACGATCTGGTACAAACTGTTTAGAGAATGTTGTTATTCTGAATGGTGAAAAATTTACCCTAGAAATCTGGGATAAAACTTGCAACTGCACACTGGATATCTTCAAAACCACAATCCCACATGCGTAAGAAGATTTTATACAACTTTACATTTATATTTGTATACTGAATGAGTTGGAGAGTGACTAGTGATTAAAAGTTTGATAGTAACTACTGATTTCTCATAACAGAAATCCTTTTAAGCTTGTCTTACTCTTATATGGATTTAGATTTATTACAAACCAAATTGCTATAAACTATAACAAATACATGAATTAAACTATTTGTAAACCAAAACCTTTAGTCTGGTTATCCAAAATTTGGGACATAGTGAAGTGATTCCGCTGACTTTTATAAGATTTTATTTATTCAGATCAAACCAAGCAGTGGTTTTGAATTGGGAAAAAAAAATCTCAGCCTGTTTCTGTTACTGATCTTTTAATAATCTAAGGAAAATGTATTTACACATATTTGATATTTTATAACAGCTTGTCATTTTTCTCTAAGGGATGAGTGTGAAATGGAATTATAGTGAGGCAGGGTTTTTTTTTTTTTTTTTGAGATGGAGTTTCATTCTTGTTTCCCAGACTGGGGTGCAATGGCGCGATCTCAGCTCACCACACCTCCGCCTTTGGGTTCAAGCGATTCTCCTGCCTCAGTCTCCCCAGGTAGCTGGGATTACAGGCATACACCACCATGCCCGGCTAATTTTGTATTTTTAGTAGAGATGGGGTTTCTCCACATTGGTCAGGTGGTCTCGAACTCCCAACTTCAGGTGATCCACCCACCTCGGCCTCCCAGAGTGCTGGGATTACAGGTGTGAGCCACCACACCTGGCCAGTTTTATGAATTTTTTTTTTTGAGAAGTCTCTTACTTTGGAAAATATTTGATATTAATACTTAGGGAAAGGAGGTTTAAAATTTTTAAAACTTATCAGAAAGTTTTTTTTTTAATGTAAAACTGGTGACTATGTTACCCTTTTAATTATATTAAACGCCACTTAATTTATTTCTAAAAGTACATGTTTAAACTTTTTACTAGATGATTTTTAGGAAATTGCTCTTAGCAGTAGTCAAAGATGGACTGTGTAGTTGGTATGTTCTTGTTACTTTCTTGGGCCCATTTCAAAATATGCTGGATGTGGCATGTGGCACAGCCCCCTAGTGATTGATGTGGTTTTGGTATCTTAAAGGCTCTTGACCTGGCGGCCCACTTCTGGAGAAACTGCCCCCCCACCTCCATCTCCTGTAAGTGAAAAGCCATTGGTAAGTTTTAATCAGTAAAGTATATTGAAATTAGTTATTTGTGATGAGTAATTTTATTATGGGTCAAAGTCTTACATGTAAGTGTCTCAATCCATTCCTACTATTAAAAAAATATCTGAAACTAGATTACTTATAAATAGAAATTTATTGTTTCACAATTACGAAGGTTGGGAATTGTACGATCAGGTGTCTGGTGAGAGCTGCTCTCTGCTTCCAAGATGGCACCTCGTTGCTGCATTCTCACATGGTAGAAGAAGGAGGGACAGAAAGGGACCTAGATAGTTCCCTCCAGCCCTTTTTTAAGGCACTAATTCTCATGGCCTACTCCCCTCCTAAAATCTCTACCTCTTGATACTGTTGCATTGGGGATTCAGTTTCATTATGAATTTAGGAGGGAACACAAACATTCATATCATTGCGATGCATTCGTCTCTTTTAAGAAGATGGTATAAATTTGCGTCCAGAATTGTGAAGTTAGTTCTGTGGTCAGTTTCACAGACAATTAATATGTGTCTCTGTTAAGTGCCATGAAGGGAGTATTTTAAATTATTTTTAAATATAGGACATCGAGTAAAATGATTTTTTAAGGGGTGCGAGAGAAAGATACCATATTACGTAGCTATCTCCATGCAAAGCTGAAGATATTGTTGGATAGTATTTAAACTTTTTATTTTTATATAATTTCACCTTATAGAAAAGTAACACAAAACAGTACAAAGAATTCTAATATTCACTTCACCCAGTGTATTGGTTTCCTAGGTCTACCATAAAAAATTACCACAAACTTGGTGGCTTAAAACTATAGAAACCTACTGTCTCATGGCTCTAAAGACCACAGGTCCTAAATCAAGGAGTTAGCAGGGCCACATTCCCTCCAAAGGCTCTAAAGGAAAATCCTTACTAGCTTCTTCCAGCTTCTGGTGGCTGTTGACAACCTTTGGCATTATTTGGCTTGTTCACATATCACTCCAGTCTCTGCCACCATCTATCCGTAGTCTTCTTCACTGTGTGTGAATTAAATCTCTACCTCTACTTTTTGTTTTATGAAGATGTTAGTCATTGGATTTAGGGTTTACCTGAAATCCAGGATGATCTCATCTCAAGATCCTTAATTACATCTGAAAAGACCTTATTTCCAAGTAAGGTAACATTTGCAGGTATCAGGGGTCAGAACTTAGACATACCTTTTAGGGGCCAATATTCATCCTACTGTGGTCTACCCACTGACACCTAAAAATTCATGTCCATCCCATTGGCAAAAGATGGTCACCCCATTCTAAGGTCCCCAAAAGTCTAAACTCATTACAGCATCAATACTATGTCCAAAATCCCATATAAATACCATCGGAAGTCCCTAATCTGATCATCTCAGACATCTACATTAAGGATGGATGACACTCTTGAGTATGATCTATTCTGGGGCAGAATTCATCTCCATCTGTGGACCTGTGAACCTAGAAAATAGGTAAAGTAACTTTTAAAATACAGTAGTGGGACAAGCATAAGATAGACATTCTCATTGCAAAAAGGAGAAATTGGAAGGAACAAAGGATCACCAGTCCTAAGCAAGGTTGAAACTTAGCAGGGACAATTCTGTTGAGTTTTAAAGCCTGAGAATAATGCTGTGTGGCTTTAATATTCTGCCTTCTGGGGCCATGGCTTACTTCTTTGGGCCTGAGCCCTACACTATCGGTTGTTCTTCTTTTTCTTAAAGGTTAGCACGTTTGCAGCTCTGTTGACCCATTTTCTGCCTGTAGAATCCTAGAAGTCAGCCTCCCTTCCTTTTATTGTTTCTGTCCCTTTCATTCTAGGCTGGCCATACATCTGCTGGTATATCATTCTCAAAATCCTTGTGGGTCTTCTGTATGTGTTAAGAGAAACCATGCCATTAAACAAGAGGGTGATCCATATATCTTTCTGGATAGTCCTGTTATGTTCCTGGCTTCTGCTGAGATGGTTGATTGGATCCACTAGATATATACCTAATCTCTTTGGCAAAAAGTCGTCCAGCTATTATAGCCTTGGCCTTCTCTCCAAAGCATGCTTTCCTAACAATTCATTTCCTAATTGTAGCATCCTTTTCCATGTGGATAGGCCAAGATCCTCTCAAATCATCAAGTGGCAGTTTCTTTTTGCTTAACAGTTCTTTCATCAGTATATCTTGTTCTTGCATTGTACTATAAACAGCAAGGACAAACCAGGCCACGCCTTCAACACTTCGCTTGGAAATCTCCACTACATGTCATCACTTAGAATTCTGCTTTCCACCCAACAATTCAGCCAGGCTTTCTGCCACTTTACAACAAGGATCACCTTTCTATTAGTATCTAATCCCATGTTCTTGATTTCCTTCTAAGACCTCACCAGAAGCACCTTTTAACATTCTTATTTGTACCAATAATCTGTTTGATGGCCATACATGTCTTCTCTAAGATGGTAGAAGCTTTCTCTCACACATTGCACTCCCTTGTGGGTCCTCACCAGAACCACATTTGATATCCATATTTCTACCAACAGTCTCTTCAGGGCAATCTAGGTGTTTTCTATCATGTGTCTCAGAACTCTTCCAGCTTCTACCATTGCCCAGTTCCAAAGCCACTTCCACATTTTTAGGTGTTTGTTACAGCCACATTCTATTTCATAGTATCAAAATCTTTATCAGGGCCAGAGAAACAAAACCAACAGTAGAGATATATATAGATAGATTTAAGGAACTGGTTTATGTGATTGTGGAGGCTGGCAGGTTTGAAATTTTGTAGGACAGGCAGGCAGGCTGGAAAGCCTTGGGCAGGTGCTGAAGCTGCAGTTCACAGGCGGAATTGCTTCCCCAGGAAAACCTATTTTGCTCAGTTTTGAAGGCCTTCAACTTATTGGATAAGGACCATCTAGATTATTGAAGATAATATCCTTAAAGTGAACTGACTATAGATGTTAACCACATCTATAAGATATCTTCAGCTCAACACCTGGAATAGTGTTTAATTGAATTAATTGTTAGTCATTTGACTTAAGTATCTGGCTTAAGTACATAGGATATTGGTATTGTGTCCTAGCCAAATTGACACAAAAGTAATCATTACACCAAGTTTCTCCAAATGTTATTTTACATTTGTTTTTACCAACTCCTGCTTTCCTCCCTCTTTTTATCTTGCTACCCCGCCTCCCACACACACACAATTTTCTGAAAATTTTCCGCCTCCACACACACACAATTTTCTGAAAGTAATTTGTAAATATAATGCCTACTTATCCCTGACAATCAAAAAATTATCCTTGAAACAATAATCTACAGGTCTTTTCAAATTTGTACTGTTCTCCCAATAATACCTTTGAATTTTAAAGCCAGGAGGCTGTAAAGTAACAAACTAATGCCCACTGACCAGATTTGTTCCTCACAACTTTTAACTTTCTTAACAAATTGTCAACAGTTAAAACAGATTTCACAGAAAAGTACCATTCTGAACTGCCCTTGAGAACTGTGACGTCTATACTGGGCCCGTGTTGCTCCATGACTCTGTTGTGCTGATGTCCGTTCAGCACAGACCCGGTTATTACTTAGGACGTCCCAAAAAATTCTCCTCATTTACATTGGTTAGTGAGAAAAATTGAGAAAACAATATACCTAACATCCAAAAATTCCTCTAAAACAGAGCAAGGTTTTAAAATCCCTAATTTTGTGACCTAGTTTTTGTGCAGGTTTAGTTTTCTGGAGAGAACATTTTAGAAATCATCAGACTGTTCAAGAGGGCCAGTGACCAAAAATATTTAAAAACTAGTGCTTTCATTTATCTTAAGTAAGATAATACATTTTTAATTCTGAGAACTGAGTAATTTCTTCCTTAAAATACAGAAGTCCAAGCTAACGTATTGTTCTGATTATTACTATTTCTGGTAACACAGGCCCATCTTCCTTTCACACAGCAGGTAAGGTTGCTGCAGGCTGGGACTGTTATGTCAGAACAACAAGAGCTAAGCACTCCTCCTGAAACCAGGTTCTCTCATCTCTTGAGTATGCTGTACCTTTAGAATGAAAGAAAGCTCGAGGAGTGGTAGGGTCAGCTGCCATTTATTGCCCAACACTGTGCTGCTAGTGTTTTGGATTTATTATCTCTAGTTCTTAACAACCTGCAAGGAAAGTATGTCATTTCTTTTTAGATCAGAAAACCTCACCTCAGGAAATTAATCATTTTTCCAAGGTTACACTCTTAATAATACTGGAACCTGTGGCTGGGCGTGGTGGCTCACGCCTGTAATCCCAACACTTTGGGAGGCCGAGACGGGCAGATCACCTGAGGTTGGGAGTTGGAGACCAGTATGACCAACATGGTGAAACCCCCTCTCTACTAAAAATACAAAAAGTAGCTGGGCATGGTGGCGCATACCTGTAATCCCAGCTACTGGGGAGGTTGAGGCAGGAGAATCGCTTGAACCCAGGAGGTAGAGGTCGCGGCGATTCGAGATTGTGCCATTGCACTCCAGCCTGGGCAACAGGAGCGAAACTCCTATCTCAGAAAAGTAAATAAATATTACTGGAGCCTAATTCTTGTGTAGGTCTATTGGACTCCAGGGTGCAGTTTCTCTTCATGATATGCCGCTCCTAGATAGTTACCTTCACACTGACCTTTCTAGTCCCTGGGTCCATGGGTGACAGAAGATCCTTTTCTAAATTTACCCCTGCAGAAAGTGTCTGTTTAGATTTTATAACACTTGTGGGTGTTGCTGACCAGTTTCTCTACACTTTGAAGTTTTGTATTTATATCTGTTGCTGTTGGATGGTTTAAGACCTGAGCCCAATGAGGGTCAGAAAGTCAACTTTTCTGTATGTACAGGTAATTTTAAATAATTTTCTCATTGTGTTTTAACTGTAATGTAATCATTTTCATAGGGACATAAGTTTTTAAAATAGCATTTTAGAAAATATTTTCACACATAAACTTTATTAACCATACTTACAATGATTTTTTTTATTTATTAGGATACAATATCACAGAAGTCTGTAGATATTCATGATTCTGTTCAACCAAGGTCTGTGGATAACAGACCGCAAGCACCACTGGTTTCTGCCTCTGCTGTTAATGAAGAAGTCAGCAAAATTAAATCTACAGCAAGTGAGTTATTTCTCTAAATAAAAATAAATTTGTGTTTTATGTAGGAAAGGGTTAACATTTTTGGTTTTTTATCATTAACAAGCATATACTATAATTGTGTCATCACTTCTTTTTTTTTATTTATTTGTGAGACAGAGTCTCACTCTTCGCCAGCCCTGGGAGTGCAGTGGCCGCCATCAGCTCACTACAAGCTCCGCCTCCAGCTTTTAATGTGAATTCTTCTCTCAGCCTCCTCTGCAAGAGCCTGGGACCAAAGGCAACGCACCACCACGCCGGCTAATTTTTTGTTTTTAAGTAGAGACCGGGGTTTTCAACCCATATTGCAGGGCTGCTTGGAACTCCTCGACCCCTCAGTGGATCCTTCCCACCTCAGGTCCAAAGTGCTGGGGAATTACAGGATGTGACCACCGCTGCCCGACCACTTTTTTTTATTTTTTATTTGGAAACGGAAGCTCACGCTGTCCGCTAAGCGGGAGTCGCAAGTGGGGGCTCCACATGCAACTCTGCCCTCCCCAGTTTCAAACAATTCTCCCTGCTCAGCCCTCCTGAGGTAGCTGGATTAACAGGTCGGCCATCCCCCACTAATTTTTGTAGATTTAGTAGAGACGGGGTTTCACCATGTTGGCAAGGCTGGTCTCGAACCCCTGACCTCGTGATCCACCCGCCTCAGCCTCCCAAAGTGCTGGGATTACAGGCGTGAGCCACCACGCCTGGCCGTGTCATCACTTCTTTACTGTGCTTACCCTTTTTTTTTCATCTTCTGATAGATGGATGCCCTCTGACAGAAGGTCAAGAACTCTGCTGTTTTTTTTAATGTCCGCTTTTTCCACCAACGAGCACCTGAGTCTTCTCTCTCCATCCCTTTTTTTTTGCCAACCAACCTCATGTTCTGTCTGTAGAAGTAGGGCCTAACATGCCTTCCTCTACCCATCTGCAAGGGGAAGTAGTGAGGGACTGTTGCTTTCTAAGCAGGAGCACTTTTTTTTTTTTCGTTGTTGTTGTTGTTGTTTTTCCAGACAGAGTCTTACTCTGTCACTTTTTTTTGAGTGTGATCTCGGTTCACTGCAACCTCAACCTCCTAGGCTCAAGCGAGCCTCTTGAGTAACTGGGACTACAGGCACGCCTCATCATGCCCAGCTTATTTTTTATATTTTTTTTTTGGGACAAGGTTTTGCCATGTTGCCCAGGCTGGTCTTGAACTCCTGAGCTCAGGCCATCTGCCTGCCTCAGCTTCCCAACATGCTGGGATTACAGGCTTGTGCCACAGCTTTTTTTTAGTAGCACCCTACTTTTTTTGTTGTTGTTGTTTTGAGACAGAGTCTTGCTTTTTTTTTCAGGCTGGAGTGTAGTGGTGCAATCTCGGCTCACTGCAAGCTCCACCTCCTTTTTTTTTGCCATTCTCCTACCTCAGCCTTCCGAGTAGCTGGAACTACAGGTGCCCGTTTTTTTTCCCGACTAATTTTTTTATTTTTTGGTAAAGACAGGGTTTCACCATGTTAGTTTTTTTTGTCTCGATCTCCTGACCTCGTGATCCACCTGCCTTGGCCTCCCAAAGTGCTGGGATTACAGGCATGAGCCACCGTTCCCGGCAGGAGCACGCTACTTTTTAAGGAGCAACCCTTTTCTCCACAATGCTCCCTAACCTTAGTCGGCCTGTGCCAATTTCCCTCACTGCTGCCCACACCCCTGTCTCCATACAGGGATCCCCAGGTCACCTGTATTCCTCCCCTCATTTTTTTTCAAAAAAGAGGAACCCTTTACTTTTTTACTGGATTGATTCGGTTTCATTTGCTGAAGGAAAATTATAACACCTAGAAAAGACCACAGCCTCCTTAGAGGAGAACAGGACAGCTTTGAGAACTTTTTAAAACCTGAGGTGAAATTTACATAACAAATAACAATATACAAGTGAATAATTCAGTGGTATTAAGTACATTCACAGCCACCACCTCTATCTAGATCCATTTTTTTTTCATCACTCCTAAAGGGAGCCCCCCCGCCCCATAACTGTTACACAACCACTCCCTCTTCTCCCCTTCCCCAGCCCCTGGCAGCCACTAATTACCTGTGTTTGTGAATTGCCTATTCTGCATATTTCATATAAAAAATGGAATCATACAAAATATAACCTTTTGTGTCTGTCTTCTCTCACAATGTTTTCAAGACTCATCATGTTGTAGCATGAATCAGTAATTCTTTTTTTTTTATTACTAAGTAATAGTCCACCGAATGTATAGACTACATTTTGTTTATCTTTTTTTTTGATGATGGATGTTTGTATTTGTTTCACCTGCAGTTGTCATGAATAGTGCTTTTTTTTACTGTTGTGTACAAATATCATTTGAATACCTGTTTTCAGTTCTCTTGCGTTATCTGCCTAGGAGTGGAATTGCTAGCTTGTAGGGTAATTCTATGTTTAACTTCTTGAGGAAACACCAAGTAATTTTCTATAGCCAGTGGCTGCACCATTTTACATTCCCTCCAGCAATTCCAGTTTTTCCACATCTTTGCCAATGCCTTTTTTGTTGTTGTTAAATGATAACCATTCTAGTGGGTGAGCAGTTGTACCTCATTGTGGTTTTGACTGGCATTTCCGTAATGATTAGTGATGTTAAGCATCTTTTCATATGCTTGTTGGCCATTTGTATATCTTATTTGGAGAAATTTGTATTCATGTCCTTTGCCTGTTTTTAAATTTTGATGAAGTCCAATTTTTGTTTTTTTTTGTTAGTTATGCCTTTGGTATCATTGTCAAAATCCAAGGTCATCAGCATTTTTTTTTTTGTTGTCTTCAGTGAAGTTTTTTTTTTTTTGAGACGGAGTCTCACTCTGTCTTTTTTTTTGGAGTACAGTGGTGCGATCTGGGCTCACTGCAACTTCCACCTCCTGGATTTTTTTTTTTCTCCTGCCTCAGCCTTGGCTAATTTTTGGATTTTTAGTAGAGATGGGATTTTTTTTTGTTGGCCAGGCTGGTCTCGAACTCTGGACCTCAAGTGATCCACCTGCCCTTTTTTTTAAAGTGCTGGGATTAGAGGCGTGAGCCACTGTGCCTGGCCTATGAAGTTTTTTTTTTTTAGCTCTTTGATTTAGGTCGTTGATCCATTTTGATTTAATTTTATTCAGGGAATTTTTTAATCCTAGGTGCTTACAGTTCTTGAGAGAAGACAGGCTTTATTATCATATTTTTTTTGAAAGGAGCTTCTATCTTCAGTCACTGTATTTTGCTAATTTCTTAAAGGGTAAACAGGTGGTAGTGAGTGGCCCAGTTTCATTTTTCATTCCTGTTCCCCAAAGAACAGAATCGTTCATGTAGGAGTCCTTTGCAGCTTCAGTCTGCACCAAGAAAGGCCAAGAGGTTTTTTTTGTAAGTGGCTTTTCTCGCTCTCAGCCTCAAGACTGAATTTAAACACACTTTTTTTTTTGAGGGCAGGACTTGGTCTTCACATAGTGGAAAGTGTGCACTTGGCTACTCTGGGACTATCCTTTTTCCTGGGGCAAGGGTTCTGCTTTCCTGCCACTGTGAGCTGTGGTTTTTTTTTGCATCCTTAGGCCAGACATTCCACTCTCACTCCCCTGGAAGACTTTTAGGCAAGGTTCATCCTGTAACTGTTGACTCAGAACAGTTAGAGCTGGAGGAAGAACAAGCGGCCACCCTGCTCCCATGAGCCCTTTTCCTTGGTGGATAGGTTGTGGTTCTCCTGTTTGATGAGGAGGCCCCTGCATCTGACTCTCCAACTCAGTGAAGAGAATCACAGCACAGACCAGCCTCATTCTTTCTGCACCACTGCTCTGTCGAGTTGATTCAGTACCTGCAGTCCCATTTTTTTTAAATCTGCTTAGTTTTGCTCTCTGTTGTGTGGACAATGAAATGGTTGACTTTTTTTTTCCTGGCAGTGTCAGGCCTTGTCAGGACTAAAATTTGTCCAAATAGATACTTTTTTTTTATGTGCTCCTGGTCCTTGCTAGTGAGACCATAGTTAGGATCCTTGTCCAGTTTTTTTTGGGCACGAGAAACTGTGGAGAGGCTTGGCATTGCTGTTCAGAGTACAGCCTCATCTGCCAAATTCTTGGGGTCACTAGAACTGTTTGGGTCCCTGCTGGAAGCTCTTAATACCCCTGAGCAGCTCACGTTGGAGCTGATGAAAATAGGTCTCCTAAGACCTCCATCTACCACTAAGTCCCTTCTGGAGTCCAGGTCCTGCTAGGAGTCTCTTGCCCCCTGGGACTTTTTTTTTTTCTCACTTGAATGAGAGAGTGAATGGATGACTGCCCATGCCGCTGTCACTGTAATAAAGGACTAAGAAGACAAGATTTAAGAGGAAGAGATAACCATAGGACTTACTTTTTTTTTTGTTTTCCTTTTTTAATTTGTGATCTAGTACTAAGAACTAAACGTTAAATTTTTTTTCATTTATGAACAGTATCTGGAAAGGAACCTTCATTAATGATCTCAATAAGTTTTTTTTTAAGTAAGTTATTTTTCTACCCCTCAAAATCCCTAAAACATGAATTTGTCTTCCACACATTAGTGCCAGAAAAGGGAATTTGTAGTAAAAATGTTTTTCATACTAGAATTTTTTTTGGATTGTAAGTCGCCCAGCATTGGAGCCATTGCCCCAGGACTGCCTAGTAGAAAGCTCCCTTTGGGCAGTTGTCTGCCTCCTGGAAAAGCTTCCTGCCAAAGCTGCCCCTGAGAATCTGGGATGGAGGTGTGGCCGTGTGGTCTGGGTCCCCTGGGCGGTGTGGCATTTTTTTTTCGGGAATTGAGTCCTCTTTTCTAACCTTGTGCTGCTGCATTGGATTAGCTACTTAGCTGGCGTGGTCAGACAAGGGGAGCACTCCCATGAGTGTGTCCACATGGGCCTTTTTTTTATCAGAAGCGCCCTGTTGAACAAATGTGTTCGGGATAGAGGGATGCGGTTTTTTTTTTCTGATGAGGGGAACGTGGGTGGCACTTTTGTTACTTTGCAGTTTGGTTACTTTTTTTTTAATGTGTTCAGCTTAACTTTTTTTTTTTTTTTAAAAAGACGAAATCTGGTTTTTTTTCCCAGGCTGGAGTGCAGTGGTGTGATCTCGGCTCACTGCAACCTCTGCCTTTTTTTTTCAAGCAGTTCTTCCTCAGCCTCCCGAGTAGCTGGGATTACAGGCGCACACTTTTTTTTCCGGCTAATTTTTGTATTTTTAGTAGAGATGGGGTTTCACCATGTTGGCCAACCTGGTCTCGAACTTCTGACCTCAGGCAGTCCACCCGCCTTGGCCTCCCAAAGTGCTGGGATTACAGGCATGAGCCATTGCACCTGGCCCCAGCTTAATTTTTTTATAGACTTCTTTTTTTTTGGATGTCTTTGAAAATAAGAGGTAATTTCAGTCACAGCTACAAATCTGGATCCAAATAAAACATGTGCTGTGGCCAAACCACAGTATTGCATAGGTTAATCCGGAGTCTTGGCTGCCCTCACTTCCTGTCTCACATTGATCTGTTCTGTTATTTTCTTATGTCTATTTTTTTTCATGTAACCTATTTTCTTTTTTTTTAATTTCAATTAATTAATTTATTTTTTTTTTTTTGTCTCTCTCTCTCTTGCCCAGGCTGGAGTGCGCTGGTGTGATCTTGATTCTTTTTTTTCTCCGCCTCCCGGGTTCCAGCGATTCTCCTGCCTCAGCCTCCAGAATAGCTTGGATGACGAGTACGCACAATCATGCCTGGCAAATTTTTTTGTAGCTTTGTAGAGATGGGGTTTCATCATGTTGGCCAGGCTGGTCTTGAACTCCTGACCTCAGGTGATCCAGCTCTGCCTTGGCTTCCCAGAGTACTGGGATTACAGGCGTGAGCCACCGTGCCCAGCCCCTTTTTTTTTTGTTTTCAAAGGTCAGACTTGGGTTTACAGTTGATATTTCAGTTTTAGGTTTTTTTTTATTTGTTACATTTTCGTTAAAAATAACTTGAATTAAAAAAAATTTGTAGCTTTTTTTTCTTGAATATATTACTGTTCTAAATCAGGGGTGTTCAATGTTTTGGCTTCCTTTTTTTTCACTGGAAGAATTGACTTGGACCACTCATAAAATACACTAACATGTATGGTTTTTTTTGACCCAGACCACACAGCCACACCTCCATCCCAGATTCTCAGGGGCAGTTTTGGCAGGAAGCTTTCCAGGAGGCAGACAACTGCCCAAAGGGGGCTTTCTACTAGGCAGTTTTTTTTCAATGGCTCCAATGCTGGGCCACTTAACAATCCTTGTTTCTTTCTACTATTTTTTTTTATAGTGAGCTAAGAAAAAAAAATCTCATAATGTTTAAAGAAAGTTTATGATTTTTTTTTGGGCTGCATTCAAAGCTGTCCTGGGCCACATACAGGCTGCGGGTTGGACAAGCTTGTTCTAAATTATGTAGGGCACTTTTATTTTAAAAATTAATTTTCTAAGGCTTTTTTTTTTATCAGTTAAACTTTTACTGAGTAATGCCTACGTGCAAAAGCAGTATGTCCTTTTTTTTGTGATGTGTGAATACATATTAATGTTTCCTTAGCACTGTAATGTCATGGATTTTTTTTAGAATTCAAAATAATTTTTTGTTTGCATGTGCATTGGGGGGGGTTTCCTCTTTTTTTTTCCAGAACAAAAATTGTTTGCTGCCCTGTTGATTAAATGTGTTGTGCAGCTGGAACTCATCCAGACTATCGACAACATTGTCTTCTTCCCAGCCACAAGTAAGAAAGAAGATGCGGAAAACTTAGCTGCAGCGCAGGTAAGGAGGTAGGAGGACAGCTGCTTTTTTTGTGTAAGTAGGAAGTTAGCTATAGCAGTCTGGGCTGTAGAGTTAGGCTAGAGAATTATTTTTTTTGGCCTTCCTCATGCAGATGTCCTTTTAAACCATGAGACTGGATCCCATCATTTTTTTTTAAGGTTAGCTAGAGCAGGGAGGAGGGTCAGCAACTGAGCACTAGGAACCTTTTTTTTTACAGCTTCTGGAGAGGAGGCAGCTAGCAGAGACTGAGGACGAGAATCCATTTTTTTTGGGGAGGCACGGGGAAGCAGGTGTCAGTGTCAGTTGTCCGGGAAGTCAGATTTTTTTTATGTTTTAAGAAGCAGCATGTGATCAGTCACTTGTTAAATGCTCTGGATATTTTTTTTGATACTACTCTTGAGAACTGCCTTCTAACTATTTGGAGGACTTTGGAACCTTTTTTTTGTGTTAAATGTTAAATTGAGGACAAAAGCATAATTGTAATGGGAAGAGAGTTTTTTTTAGAATGTGGACTCAGCCAGTACTCTGTTAAGAAGTTTTGCTATAAAGGCATTTTTTTTTGTGATAGCTGGAGTGTGAGGGGTTTGCTATGTTTTGTTCTCCAGATTGGTTTTTTTTCAGTGTGTTCACTGGTAAGAGCTTTCCAGTAGGGAGAGAAAAACTGACTGTAGGCAAGAGAGGGGCAATTGCTAGGGCCATGTTTTTGAGTGAGTGGAGATAGTACTTTTTTTTTTGTGGGAATCACCTGGGGCAGAAGCCCAGATAGTTCCCATGTGGTGGCAGGTTTTTTTTTGGGGGATGGGTTATGGATGCAGGAAGTCTGGTACATTTGGGGTGGGAGCTTGTGAGAGACCACCTTTGCCAGCTTCTGGTTTCTCACTGAGATGGGAAGAAAAGTCATCTACCATGTGAGATTTGGAAGAGTGTTTTAGCTACTTTGAGAAGTGAAAACGTGAGCTTTTTTTTCAGGAACGTGGCCTAGGCCAAGGTCTGCCAAGGGCTGGGCCAGCACCAAGTTTTTTTTTTTAGAGAGAAACCAGTCTGCTTTCTCTAGTCACACATGACCACACGGCCTTTTTTTTAGCCAGTTACTAAAAGGAAGAGGAGGGGTTGTGAAAGAGAATAATTAAAATTTTTTTTCATGGACTCCATAGCAGCAGTTGAGAAGGGAGGACTTGAGGGGCTGAGGAGCGCAGGGCCAGGGAGTTGGGAGTCCAGGGGGGTCTGGACTGATGGGAGGCGGTGCTTTTTTTTTTGGATGTGTAACCGTAGATGGACCGTCCCTTACTTTGTTAGGTTAGATGAATTTTTTTTTCTGTGGCTTTCTTGTGAAACTGGTCTTTGGGGAGCATTGAGTTGTAAATTAACTAAAATTATTGTGACTGTGTGTATATGCTGGGGTGGTTTGTTTTTCAAAGAGAGTTTTTTTTGACTTTGATGTTCGAGTTGATACTCAAGACCAAGGAATGTACCGCTTTTTTTTTTTTTAACAACTTTTTAAGCTACTGGACTGCTTATTAGAGTCACATAGATTTGCATTTTTTTTTAATTCCAACAACGAACAGAGGACTGCCCTGTGGAAAGCAGGTAAGCTATGCACGCCTCACATTTAATGTTTACTGTTGATGGATGTGGGACAGATACATACAGGTATTTTTTTTTATTGACTGTCTACTGTAGGTATCTGCATGTCACTATGTGTACTTGTGTACTTTTTTTTTAACAGTAGTAAGGTAATCTCACAACCAGGCCCTTTTCTGGTCTGCAGTATTTTTTTTAACTACTTGGGTGAATTTTTTCCCCCTTGGTCTATTATTTGACTTATATTTTTTTTTTATCTTGTTTACCCAACCTGGACCTTCTTATTGATACTAACTGACATGATATTTTTTTTCCTTTCATTAGGAAATAAATGTGTAAAAGTCACACACACAAAACCTGGCATGTGTATTTGAATGGCTTCTCTGTTTACTGGGAATGGCTAAAGTTCAGAGTGAAGGTGTTTTTTTTGGGATGTGAGTTATATTTGTTGTAGAACAAGTTAGACATTTTAAACAAAATTTTTTTTTTTATTATAAACCAAAGTGGCATTGTTAATTTTTTAATTTAAGAAATAGAGCCAGGTGCAGTGACTCATGCCTGTAGTTCTGGCTACTCGGGTGGTTGAGGTGGGGGGATTGCTTGGGGCCAGAAGTTTGAGACCACCCTGGCCAACATAGACCCTGTCTCTACAAGAAATTAAAAATTAGCGGGGCATGGTATTGCATACCTGTAATCCCAGCTACTCGGGAGTTTTTTTTGGGAGGATCACTTGAGCCCAGGAGTTTGAGGCTGCGGTGAGCCATGATCATTTTTTTTCCCTCCAGCCTGGGCAGCACAGTGAGACCCCATCTCTTAAAAAAAGAAAATTTTTTTTAATATAATTATTAGGTGCCAAACAGTGCTGGGAGGATGAGGGGCAGCAGATTTTTTTTGAGAAAAAGAAGGGGGCTGATAGTTACTGAACATCAAACTCTGTATCAAAAGGGTTTGGTGCTTATGTTTGTTTATTTAAAACAGCTGTGGCATTCTTCCCTTTACAGTTTTTTTTCTGGAAAGAGTAGTCTGTACTTATTTTTCCCCTTTTTTCCTACCCCAGTTTTTTTTTTCATTCCACTGGGCCTGTTCCTGCTGAGCTGATAGACCCTCCTTGTGTCCATTTTTTTTGGACCCATCAGACCTCTGACAGAGCAGTTCTCACCTCCTGGAGGTTGCCCCTGTTTATCTGAGCGCCCTCGTGCAGGCAGAGCACAGAGCCCCTTCTACAGCTTTGGGTTTTTTTTTGCAGTTTCATGTGAAGGGCTCCACCTTCCCAGGCCACAAGTTATTTTATTTTTTTTTTCCCCAACGCGAATAGGGAGGGAATCCTGGATGTGGAAGTCATCTTCACATTTTTTTTCTGTGGCTCCGCTTTGTAAGCAGCAGATGCTGATGGCTGACCACAAACAATTTTTTTTTCCATATGGGCTGCTTCACCTTTACATAAGATGCCTTCCCAAACTAATCCTTTTTTTTTCCCCTTTCTGCAGGATTCAAAGGCAAATCCAAGCCCAACCTTCTCAAGCTTTTTTTTAGCAGCCTGGCCTGTGGGCTGCGCATTCTATTCCGGATGTACATGGATGAGAGCCGCGTTAGTGCCTGGGAGGAGGTCCAGCAGAGGCTTTTGAAGTAAGACTCTTGATTTTTTTTCATCTCTGACCAGGTAGCCACATGGTGCCGGGCAGGAAAGGGGCACCGGTGGGACCATGCTGAGAGCTGAGCCTTTGGGGCCTGGATGCCCCTATTCCACAGAGCAATTTTTTTTTTTAAATTCAGTCTTAGAGATGAATGTGCTTTAGTGACATGTGGCCAAATCTTTTTTTTCATGCAGGACAAAGGAGGTTTTCTGTTTTAAAACTGTGAACTATGTCATTTTTTTTTTTTTTTAATGTCCTAAGATAGTCCCATTTTTACAGAACAATCATTTGTGAATTTTTTTTCTTGCCTGCCTGCATTTACTTTGGAAAAAATATTTGGAGTTTTTCTTAGTTTTTTTTTTTTTACTCTTTTACTTTAAGATAACTAACATGTAAACTCAGGCTAAGAATTTTTTTTTCCATTCAGAAAGAATACTACCCTCTGCATTGTATTACATCTACTTAAGGAATAGATGTTCTGAGGCCAGTTAAATACATTTTAGAATTTTAAGGGGTCACCTAGTCTCTTTTTTTTCATTTGATTGACAAGACTGGTTGATTAAGGCCCCGCAGGGCCTTGTGATCTAGGTCCTCACAAGGGTCAGTGAAGAGAGGAGTCGCCTCAGATTCCAGCCCAGGTCTCTTTTTTTTAAGCTTCATATGTGCCACCTGCCACACAGCAGCTTTGAATTGAAAGAAACTTAGAAAATTAGGAAAATGTGGGTTTCCTGGTAAGTTACAATGGCTTCTTTTAACATGTTTTTTTTTCTTCCCAATTTGAAAAGCACGTTTATGTTGACACTCCAGCTAATGTAAATTTTTTTTCTCTAACATGTTCTTGAACAGTTCATATTCACTACTATGTTCATGATTGCTTTTTTTTAGTGAATATGGGGACCAGTAGATATACAAGTAACATTAAAGGAAGCCTTTTTTTTTTTAGTGTCTGCAGTGAAGCGCTAAGTTACTTCCTCACTCTAACATCAGAAAGTTTTTTTTAAGCCTGGACTAACTTACTGCTTTTGTTTCTAACTAAAGTTCTAAAGATATTTTTTTTTAGGGTAAGTATGAGGCTTCGAATCCAGCCCAACAGTTCTAGCCCGATTCGCGTCGGGATGCCGGGTCCCAGAGTCGCCGTGCAAGAGCTCTCAGAGCCGAATCAAGCTTTTTTTTGGCTGCACTGCTGCTTGTGCAAAACCACCAGTGGCCTTGCTGTATCTTCCTTTTTTTTCGCTTTTCTCCCTCTTACCCAGCTTTGTTCACTAATTAGCAGTTCTCTAGGGGATTCAGTAGGTGAGGGATCAGAATCCCTTGGGATACCTCGACAAGTTCCTGGGTTTTTTTTTTATTGAAATTCCCATTGTGACCCCAGGAGTCTCTCCCTTTTCCCCATTTTGTTTTTTTTTGTCCAACTACCTCATGACCTTGCACTCTGCCTGCTACTCAAGAATACATCTGGTTCCTGGGCCTGTGCTCCGGGCTGCAGCTGTTCCTTTGGCATATTTAGTGGTTCTTTTTTTTCCAGAGTCCCTAGTGAATGGGTCTCATATAAGAATTTTGAACCAGTAGAATTTTTTTTAAAATACACACATGACTGTAAATATAAGTGCATATTTAAAGGTTTTCAAAAATGTACATTCTACTCTTACAAAAAAATAGCAACTTACAGCTCACACATAAGGTAACATTTTTTTTTGCTGTGACCCTAGAATAGGTTTAAAAATGCCTAGTGATGTGGCCCAGTACTTGAAAGGCCAAGGGTTCTAAACCCCAGCCTCTGTTACTCCACAGCTGACTTTTTTTGCCATAACATGTCTCACTGCTTCTCTGGATCTGGAGGGGCACAGGGGTAGGAAAGGAGGCTGCAGACTAGAGTTCAGAGATGAAGGAACTACTGTGAAGATACAGCCGAAGTATAGTTTTTTTTCTGTACATGTGAAACGTATATAGCTTTGCCTGAAGAACTGTTTAGATTTTTTTTTTTTACTTAAAATTTTTTATGTAACAAAAGATAAAATTTCAGTAACCCATAGCTTATAAAAACTCAACTCTAGTTTGTACTCAGTTGTTTTCTTTTGCTTATTGCCCAGGAAAAACAGTGCTGAATTACTAAAAGTTTGTCAAAGATATACAGGCAAATGTTTTTCAAAGTTTTTTTTTGTAAGTGAGTAGTGTTTGTATGAAGTGAGTTTTTCTAAGTTCCACAACCTTTTTTTTCTGCCTGCTGTGGACGCTGCTTTCCTGGCTCCTGTAATCGAGCCCCAGAGTAGTTTGACTCTAGGCAGTTTGAGGCTCTGGAGTTTGCAATCACTGCTAATGGAGAAATTCATTTTCCCTGCAGTTTAAAGCTCATGCATCATTCTACTACCCTCTCTTATGTGAATTTTTTTTATTTGACTTGATTCCTGAACTTCGTGCTGTTCTTAGAAGATTTTTTCTGCTTTTTTTTGTAGTTTTTCAGATATCACAACCACCTGAACAGGAACTTGGAATAAACAATTTTTTTTGGGAACTTAATATTTTTGTTGGCGTTTACATCCCTCCGCTCTTTAAAACGTTTTTTTTGCTGAGGTTTCCTACCTGAAAAACGATTTCTCCGGATTGCAGTGTCTGAGAGTTACTGGTAAAGATGCTTAGAACTCTTATTCAAACTTTCAACACTCCAGTCCCTTTTAGTACGGGCAGATTTTGTGTGTTATGTTGGCCTCATGTTGAGCAGAAAGCCTGTTTAAACAATGTCAGCTCATGCTCACGGGTCCCTCCCTGTCTTCCACGGCAGGAAAAGCCCCACATGTTTTTGGCAGGTGTGGAAGTGAAACTTACCCAAAGAACTATAGATGTAAAGATTTTTTTTTTACAAGAAGTACAACTCAGGAGAGCTGTATTTTGAAGGATAAAATGTTTATAATTGGGGAGTGGGGAGAGAAGAAGAAATTATTGTTCATGGTAAAAGATATTTAGCATTTTTTTTATTCTTATTCTGAAGATTTTTGCACACTCAGGCTATCTGAGATACTGGTAATCATCCTGTGAAAAATGTACAGAGATGCAGGTCTGTAATATAAAAATCTTAAACATTTTTTTTTTCTTCCTGCACTGTTTTCTTTCTTTATTTTCTTATTCATTTGCTAAATACCTTTTTTTTTTTGTCAAATGCACTAAACATTTGGGTGGAACTTTCTTTTTTATTTTGTGGGGATTTTTAGTTTGGCCCTTTTTGGTGGGTGGTGATTTTGAGGCTTTAACATGCCCAGAAGCTGTTGTGGCCGACACTTCAACAACAGGGAAAAAAAGGTAGAAAATATCCCTACTTTTTTTTACTACCTGTCACATATTTCTCTTAGGGCTTTTAAAGATGAGCCATTAAAATTTTTTTTTCCTTTATGGACCAAAACTTGAATCACTGCAAAATGAATCCAGATTGCTGTTTTTTTTTTTTGGGTGGTGGGGCTTGATGTAGATTTTACTCTATGTACAGAATTTAATTTTTTTTATATTAAAATAACAAATCTGGCATGGTTTGCGGAGGTTAGATTTACTGGATTTTTTTTCATACTGTGAATTGTGCTCTGATGGTTAAAAGACAAGATTGTCAAGCATTTTTTTTTTACAGTGGATGTAGAAAATTTTTTCAGACGGATAAAATGTATATGGTACAGTTTTTTTTTTTTCTATGTAAAAAATTCTGTACAACTTTCTGTACAATATTGATTCTCATCTGGCATATTCTAATCAGGTTATAGGTCAATAAAGTTTTTGAAATATTTCATCAGTGCAATCAAAACTTCTATAACCCACCCCCATGTTTCATTGATTCTTTTCTGTTAAGGCCATTTTTTTTTGGAAAAGACATTTTCAGCCAGAACTACAAATTCAGTATTGTTTGGTTCTTTTTTTTTCTTTCCAGCTTCCAGCATTAGATCCTCCCTCACACTGTACTTACCATAGAATATTTATTTTTAAGGCAGTTTTTAAAATTTTTATGTATCTATTAGAGACTGGATCTCACTCTGTTGTCCAGGTTGGAGCGCAGTGGTATGATCACAGCTCACTGTAGCCTCAAGCGGGGCTCACGTGATTCTCACACTCCACCCTCCCCAGTAGTGAGGACTATAGGCACACATTTTTTTTCTTGGCTAATTAAAAAACAGTTTTTTTGTAGAGACGAGATCTCACTATATTTTTTTTTCTGGTCTCAAACTCTTGGATCTGAAGTGATCCTCCCAACTCAGCCTCCCAAAGTGCTGGGATTATAGGCGTGAGCCACCATATCCAGCCCAAAAATCTTTTGATATTTTTTTTTTTAATATTTTATATATTAATAACCTAGCATCAGGCTAGAGTGGTGAAAAGAGCTAAAGTTCTCTTCAGCACAGTTTGCAATATTGTGTGTTTTAGGAGTCAGTTGAAGTTTTTTTTTTCATGGCATTAAACAAAAATGGAACGTGTCAATATCATCTAACATGGTTGTTTTTTTTTGGAAAAGTATTCAGTCATCTTTGCTTTCACACCTTAGATAATGAACAGTTTTTTTTTTATGCATTTGTAAGTGTGCCGTATTTGTTACCCCAAGACAGCTCTGTTCAATTTTTTTTGGATGCTAGAGCTGGGAGCCACTGTGACCTTGCTGTGCGAGGGTAAGTGTTTTTTTTTACCTGGTAGTTGATTATTTAATGGTGTAGTATTAGGACACTTCCCCTAGATTTTTTTTAGGCTTTCTTCTTTCTTTCAGATGACAATAGAACAAATCTTTACTAGTAATTTTTTTTATGGTCCTAAAATTAGAAAATCAATCAAATATAAAATTTACAACTAGCCATTTTTTTTAATATCAGTAATTTGATACTGTCTACCATTAATTACATCAGAGGATGTATTGGAGAAGCAGTGCCTGGGGATGTTCTCAGCTGTCATGGTTGTGAAGATTCTAATCTGTTTTTTTTTTTCATAATTTGAATGACTCCTTTTTTTAAAAAAGTATCAGTTACTGAGTTTTTTTTTAACTCACATGGACTCACTTATCCAAGGTTCCATGGTGGTGGAACAAGAAGACGACTCCAGTCTCTCTGTCCTTGACTCCCGGGTGTCCCCACCTCTGTTCAGCCTCCATTTTTTTTGTCTAGAAAGCTCCATAGTAGTTAAAATAAAAAGATTTTAGTAATTAAAATAAAAATTTATTTGTATCAAGAAGTAGTTATATAAATTAGTAACTTAAATGCCTTCATTTTTTTTTAAATAGAAGCAGAAAGGTGTAACATTTAATGTATGGCTTACAAGAATACATTTTTTTTCAGTTCCCTTCATTTCTGTATCAGTAGCTACAAATAACATGAAATAGGACTTTTTTTTGTGTCACACAGAAACTGGAATAATCACAGCTACAATAGATGTACCTACTATTTTTTTTCTTTTGCATGGAGGTAACAATGGAAAATGTGCATGTAACAAAGGGGAGTCTTTTTTTTCAGGACGGTTAAGACACTTATTCACATTAATGACAAGCAGAATTCAACATTTTTTTTTACAGTAGTTCAGTTCATTACCACCCTAATTTATGACAAAATTGTGCAAAATTTTTTTTATACAATTCTATTATATAAATCAATAATCATGGCCTTATATTTATGTACATTTTTTTTATCATAATAATTTTATATACAGATGGAAAAAAAGTAACTTTCAGGTAGGGTTTTTTTTTAGGACATATTATTGAAGGTACAGATTTACCATTCCTTTCACCTTAAAAGTTTTTTTTGGGTCCAATACAGGTTTATTTTAACCATGTGCAGTCGACAGGCCCTGCCAAGTGAAAGTGCCTGGTTTTCCAGGAACCTGCTGCTGCTCCTGGTTCAGCTGCTCTGCCATGAAGCGTTTCAGTGTTTCTGAAGTGCCAGGGCGGAGCCAGGGCTCAGTTGCTACAGAGTTTGATCCGTCATCACCTATGTGTTTCATGATGTCATCAGGGTCAACCAGTGAACTTTTTTTTTCTACAGGAGGCAAGGGACATGTGACTCAGGTAACAGGCAGGCAGGACAACTTTTTTTTTCCCCACAATGTCATGTCCTGAACTCTGTTTTGGTTAGACTCACCCCACCTTTTTTTTCAGGGAGGAGAGCAGGCCCACAAAGGCGTCAATTTTGTAAAACAAAAAATTTTTTTTTGAGTAAGCTGAATCCATGGCACTAGCAACCAGAGGGATTCTAAGTATATCTTTTTTTTCTCTCCACCAAAGTCAACAGGAGGAATGTAGGTAGTTTTATTTTGTAACTTTTTTTTTAGGAGAAGCCTAATGGCTACACATAATTATTTTTTTTTTTTTTAAGCAAGTTTTTTTTAATACTCTTCAACCTACAACACTGCTATAAGGAAATTAAGTTATTTTGGGTTTTTTTTAGTTGCAATGAGATTACTTCCATTCTTAAAACATCTAAGAAGGCCATGTCTTTTTTTTGAAGAGGTAGCTCTTAATGTGTTTCATTCTTTAACTGAATTTGTACTCAACTTCTGTGTTTTACTTATTATTAGGTATAGTAATAGGAAAATCTGTCTTCCTACCCTGTTTTTTTTTATTCTTTTTTCTTTTTTCTTTTTTTTTTTTTGAGACGGAATATCTCTCTTTTTTTTTGGCTGGAGTGCAGTGGCGCGATCTCCACTCACTGCAAGCTCCGCCTCCCATTTTTTTTCCAGTCTCCTGCCTCAGCCTCCCGTGTAGCTGGGACTACAGGCGCCCGCCTTTTTTTTCAGCTAGTTTTTTTTTTTTTTTTTAGTACAGACGGGGTTTCACCGTGTTATTTTTTTTGATCTCTATCTCCTGACCTCGTGATCCACCCGTCTCGGCCTCCCGAAGTGTTTTTTTTACAGGCGTGAGCCACCGCACCCGGCCTTTTTTTTTTTTTTTTTTTTTTTATTTTTTTTTGGTCTGTGAAGGATTGGTATGTGCAATCAATCCACATCATAACAAAAAGTTTTTTTTTGAAAGGACAATGTTAAAAAAACAGTGTAGACATTAAAAATCTTCTGAAATTTTTTTTTAAAATGCTGTCTTCTCTCAGATATATTCCTGTTAAATATTAATTCAGTTTTTTTTTTCTAAAAGAAAATGCCTTGTAGCTGGAAAGAAGACATCCTTTCCTACTGTCCCATCAATTAACCATGTCTGCTTGTGTTTGGTATGGAATTACCACCATTAGAACACACCACACCTTGACTGCTAGATAGACAGTATATGAGTACAGTTTTAAATTAATACAGTATTTTTTTTTTAATCTAAAAAAAATCTTGAGATTGTAATGTAGATTAACAGACTAAAGAGTATTTCCCAGATAGACCACTATTTGCTAAAACTAATATTACCAATATGAAACTGTCCCATTTTTTTTGTGAGTAATAGCATTGGTACAAAAAAGGGTGGTACAGGGCTGGCAGTGTATTTTTTTTGGTGTCCATCCTGCCTTGTGCTCTATGACTAGCTTTAACCTGCAAGTCACAAAAATACACTCATAATGAGACTAGCTTTATTTGACCTCTGAGGCTTTGTTTGTCCATTTTTTTTTAAGCCAAATAAGAAGGTAAAAATTTTCTTTGTAGTACTACAAATTTACAGCATAAGTGTTAAAGAACTCAGTCTTAAGGCTAATTTCTAATAATGTTTTATTACTAAATTTTTTTTAAAGTGATTACTATATCATATAGCATTTTCTCTGCTGAAAGCAAAGCCTGTTTTTTTTTAATAAGCAAAAACTATTTTACCTGTTTAGACTCCACTCTAAAATGGGCACCCTCTCTGATAGAGAAAATCTGATGCAAACTTAATCCTGAGGTCTGGTTTTGCTCAATAGTTACGTCTTGGGCCATACAACTCAAAGGACTTCAAACTCATTCCATCTATCCTCATTTTTTTTTGAAAGCCTTGAGTAAGAAAGTTTAAAAGTTCATACGGGATCTCTGCTATTTTTTTTTACACTTGGTCATTTACCTGTATTAATAGGTTTATTGTGAAGTTCATTCAGTTTTTTTTTTCGTTCCTCATTTCTCATTCTAAGCTGATCAACATTTACACTGGATGTAGATTTTAGAGAGAGACCATCTGGTGCTACATTAGGACGACTGCTATCCTGTAGTTAGATTTTTTTTCTTCAGAAAGTCATTAACATAAAGTATGTTCACAAATCAGTGAATCAGGGCCAGGCATGGTGACTCTCGGTAATCCCAGCACTTTGGGAGGCCGAGGCAGGCAGACCACTTGAAGTCAGGAGTTGGAGACCAGCCTGACCAACATGGTGAAACCCCATCTCTACTATTTTTTTTAATTAGCTGGGCATGGTGGCGGGCACCTGTAGTCCCCAGCTACTTGGGAGTTTTTTTTAGGAGAATCACTTGAACGCAGGAGGCGGAGGTTGCAGTGAGCCGAGATTGTGCCACTGGACTCCAGCCTGGGAGACAGAGACTCTTATCTCAGGGAAAAAAAAAAAAATTTTTTTTAAATCAAAACATCCTCTTGCCCTCAAATGTACATTGTGATGAACAAAATAAATGGAAATATGGAGCACTTATATTATGGCTCCTATGCTTATCCATGCAAGCTCAGATTTTTTTTTCAAGAATAAGGAATAACATTTGTGATGACAGAAATGCTGCCAGTCTGGATAAAGCTTGGGAATTATAGGACACAGAAGGAAAAAACTAAAGCAGCAGGGGCTGAGACAGTCCAGCTGTAATCAAGGCAGTGTGGTACTGACATAAGACAAGTAGATCAATGTAAGATTTTTTTTAATACAGAAGTAAATCCTTATGTTTACAGATGAGTTAACAAAATGCAATGTTTTTTTTGTCTTTCAACAAATGCTAGAACAACTGGATGGCCACATGCAAAAGAATGGACTTGGACCCCTGCACCTCACACCCTATGCAAAAATTAAAGTGTATCACGGACCTACAATTAAGAACAAACTGAAATAAAACAAGTAAATCCTCATGATCTTGTGCTAGGCAATGGTTTCTTAAGTAAGACACCAAAAGCCCAAGAGAGATGGATGAGTTGGACCTCATCAAAATTTTTTTTCTTCTGTGCTTCAAAGAACACCATCAAGAAAGTTAAAAAGATACAGAATGGGAAAAAAAGTATGAAAATCACACATTGATAACTAGACTTGTAGCCAGAATGTAAAAGAACTCTTACAACTCAATAAAAAGACAATTCAATTTGAAAATGGGCAAAGGGCTGGGCACGGTGGCTCACGCCTGTAATCCCAGCACTTTGGGAGGGGAGGCAGGCGGATCACCTGAGGTTAGGAGTTTGAGACCAGCCTGGCCAACATGGCAAAACCCCGTCTTTACTAAAAATACAAAAGTTAGGCATGTTGGCATGCACCTGTAATCCCAGCTACTCAGGAGGCTGAGGCTTTTTTTTCCCTTGAACCCCAGTGCGGCAGAGGGTGCAGTGCGCTGAGATCACACCACTTTTTTTTAGCCTGGGCGACAGAGCGAGACTCTGTATTTAAAAAAAAAAAAAAAAAAATTTTTTTTGAAAAAGGATTTGAATAGACATACCTCCTAAGAAAATGTTGGCTAATAAGTTTTTTTTAAGATGTTCAACGTCATTAGAGAAATGCAACTCAAAACCACCATGACACTTTTTTTTTCTCAATGGCTAAAATCAAAAGACACTAAGTGATGGCCAGGATACAGAGAATTTTTTTTCTTCATACACTGATGATGGGAAAGTAAAATGGTACAGCCACCTTGGAAAATTTTTTTTTACTTCCTCAAAATGCTAAATACAAAGTGTCCATATAACCCAACAATTTTTTTTTTTTTAGCTATATATATTCAAGAGTAATAAAAACATCAAAAACTTGTACATGAATTTTTTTTGTATCCGTAAGATCTAAAAAGTGAACACAACCCAAATATCTATTAATTGTTTTTTTTTTAAACAAAATGTGGGATACTAATACAGTGGAAAATTATTCAACACTAAAGAGGCATCAGTACTGGCACATGCTACAACATGAATGACCTTCAAAAGAAGACAGACAAATCCAGTCACAAATAACCATAGAATGTATGATCTCATTTATATTAAATGTCCAGAAAAGTTTTTTTTATAGAAACCAAAGTAGATTGGTGGTTGCCTAAGGCAAAAAGCAAAGCTATTTTTTTTTGGTAATGCTGTACATATAATAACGCTAATAGCATCTGTTACTTGGTGAGATTTTTTTTCATACATGGCTCAGTGCTAAATGCTTCACATTAACTGTATCTTAATGTCATTTTTTTTGAAACACAGAGTTTAAGAAATTGCCCAAGCTGCCTACCCAACAAGGAGGTTTTTTTTTTGGGACATAAACTCCAAAGCCTCTACTTTTTACTGGCTACACCGTAAAGCTGGGGAGCAGAGTGAGGAGAACATGGGTTTGAATCTCAGCCTTCTTGCCCATATGACCTTTTTTTTTCATTTGACCGAAATGAAGATGACGCTTACATCACAGAATTAGGTTATTATTTTTTTTTTCGATAAATGGCATCAGTTCCTTCTTGTGCCTCTCTGAAATCCATATATTCTGCAGGAGAAGAAGGAAGGTTGGGATGCAGAGCTACTTACAGCCACCCCAGGAGACTTTTTTTTACTATTATTATCTGGAAGAAGCCAAAGCAGCAGAATTCAATAGCTACCCAAGGTCATCCAGTCAAGGCTGAGCCTAGATTCAGACCCATGTCTGAATTTCAAGCAAGTTTTTTTTTTTTATGGGGCCATACAGATTTAGCATGGGTCAGAACCCAGACCTCTCATTTTTTTTTTTTGAAAAGGGGAAGAAACTAAGTTTCATACACACAATGTCTAGTCCTTTCTTTTTTTTCCTCCTGCGCTCCCGTGCAGAGGGCAACTGTGATGGTGGACGGAGGACGTTTTTTTTTATGGCAGGATATGTCTCACCGTAAGCACCTAAGAGGACCCCAAAAAGCAGTTTTTTTTTTAATACCGCTTCAAATCTTACCCAGAGCTAAACCAAGAGCCTGTCTTTTCATTACATTTTGCTTACAATACCATGAAATACACTCAATTTAAGTGTACATACACAGTTTTTTTTTTTTTTTAGCAAATTTACAGAGTTGTGCAATCATCACTTTAGAGCATTTCCATCACCTTAAACAGCTCCTTTGTGCCCACTGGCAATCACTCCCTACTCCTACTTGCTGGCCCTGGGCAAACACTGCTCTGTTTCAACAGATTTACCTTACCCAACACCAAACATAAATGGAATTCTACAACTTAATCTTATGTGTCTTTTCACTTAGCAATAAGGTGTATGAGATTCATCTGTGCTGTGCCATGTTTGTTTATTACATTTTACTGCTGAATAATACTCCATCTTTTTTTTATGTCATATTTTGTCTATGCATTTACCAGTAAATAGACATTTGCTAGTTGCTAGCAATTATGAATAACACTGCTATGAACATTCACATTCAAGTTTTTGTGTGGACGTTTTTTTTTATTTCTTTGGGTTATAGAACCAGAAATGAAATTGCTGGCTATTATGGTTATTTTTTTTCTGCATTTTGAGGAACTACCAACCTATTTACATTTTACATTGTAAGAAGGTTTTTTTTTCCCCACATCCTCATCAACACTTGGTATTGTCAGTCTTTTTGCTTATAATTTTTTTTTTGGACCGGAGCTAATTTGACATAGACAAATAGCCTACAACATCTACGGTAACCTCCACAGCTCCTTTGAAAAAAATTATACCTAAAGAAAAGTTAGAATAATACACATTTTTTTTTTCACCATTAGTTACTTTGCCCATTTCTATATATATTTGGGGGGATGCTGTTTTTTTTTAGCCACTTTGCTACACCAATAAATTGGAGACATCATGGCATTTTGTCTCTTTTTTTTTCAGTGTGTACCCTCTAAGAACAAGGACTGGCTCCTACACTGCAAAAATCTTTTTTTTTCATTCAGAAAATTTAACATTTATACAAAACTATCATCATTTAACATACAATTTTTTTTCAGTTATCCAAATGTATACTGTATGGGTTTTTAACAATAGGAATAACTTTTTTTTTTTAAGATGTGGGGCTTTCTATAATTCTAAAATAAGTTTTGGGTCCTTCCACGTTTTTTTTTGGTTTAGTAGCTCATTTTGTTTTAGCACTGAAAACTATTGCATTGTCTGTTTTTTTTACACTTTATCCATTCACCTACTGAAAGACATCTTGGCTGCTTCCAAGTTTTAGCAATTATGAATAAAGGTGCTATAAATATCTGCGTGCAGGTTTCTTTATGGACAAGTTTTTTTTTCCCTCAGGCAAATACCAAGGAGTATATATGCTGAACTGTATGGTAAGAATTTTTTTTTTTTTGTAAGAAATTGCCACACTGTCTTCCAAAATTGACTACACTTTTGCAGGCCCACCAGCAATGAATGAGAGTTCCTATTGCTCTAAAACCTTGCCAGCATTTGGTTTTTTTTTTTTGAATGCTGGCCATTCTAGCAGGTATGTGGTGGTATCTCATTTTAATTTTTTTTTTTCTAATGTGTTACCAGGCGGGTCCTTGTTCTTAGAACTCCCAAGATGGTGTTTTTTTTCTTCCAAGATGGTGGCAAGCGTCTTGTTCTCTGACCTGGGGTTCTTGGCCTCAGATTCCAAGGAACGGAATCTTGGGCCATGCATGAGTGTTACAGCTCTATTAGAAGCCAGGGTCACAAAAGAGAACCATGGAACCCAGAGACTAGTGTTCAGCTTGATTAGGACAAACCCAGGCACTTAGTCGTGCAGGAACAATGGCGAGCCTTTAGCCTGATTGGGAGCGGCAATGGGCGCCACCTCGGTGGATCAGAAGTGCACCGGATACCCTGCCAGATCAGGAGGGGTGGAAGTCAGAGGCGGGTCTGCGACGGCGGCAAACAACACTGGTGGACAGCAAGCTTTTTTTTAGCTCCAGCCGTAACAAACACAGACCAGAAGAGCATGCAGTTGCAAGATTTTTTTTTTTGAAAACAGAGCTCCCATACAATGGGAGGGGACCCAAAGAGGGTTGCTACTCCCAGCTCGAATGCCTGGGTTTATATCCTGATCATTGTCCCTCCCCCTGTGCTCTCATTTTTTTTATGATTTGACTATTTCTTAACCTCCTGCTTTAGCCTAATTTGTATTTTAGTGAGCCCTCTTTACTACCTGATTGGTTGGGTGTTAGCTGAGTTACAAGCCCCATGTTTAAAGGTGGGTGCAGTCACCTTCCCAGCTAGGCTTAGAAATTCTTAGTCGGCCTAGGAAATCCAGCCAGTCCTGTCTCTCAATAGCATCCTTACATAGTCTTATATCTTTATGGTGATTTTTTTTGCAAGTCTTGCTCAATCTTTTAATCAGTTTTTTTATTTTCTTATTGTTGAGTTTTAAGATTTCTTTGTATATTTTGGATAGCAGTCCTTTATCTGATATGTCTTTTGCTTTTTTTTTCTTACAGTCTCTGTCCTGTCTTCTCATTCTCTTAATTAACAGTGTCTTTTATAGAGCACAGCAAGTTTTTAATTTTTACAAAGTCCGGCTTATCAATTATTTCTTTATTTTTTTTCTAAAAGTCATCACCATACCCAAGGTCATCTAGATTTTCTGTTGTTATCGTCTATGAGTTTTTCAATTTAGCATTTTACATTTAGATGTAAGATCAACTTTGAGTTAATTTTTTTTAAGGGTGTAAGATCTGTGTCTAGGTTTATTTTTTCACATGCAGATGTCTTTTTTTTTTAGCATTATTTGTAGAAAAGACTGTCTTTTCTCCATCATAATACTGCCTTTTTTTTTTTGTCAGTACTGCCTTTGGTCTTTTGTCAGAGATCAGCTGACTATATTTGCATGAGTCTATTTCTTTTTTTGAGACAAGGTCTTTCTCTGTTGCCCAGGCTGGAGTTCAGTAGTGTGATCATAGCTCACGGCAGCCTTGAACTTCCAGGTTCAAGTAATCCTCCCACCTTTTTTTTCCAAATAGCTAGGACTTCAGGTATGTGCCACCACATTGGCTAATTTTTTTTTTTTTTTTTTCTGTAGAGACAAGATCTTGCTTTGTTGCCCAGGGAGGTCTCAAACTCCTGGCCTCAAGTAGCCTCCCAAAGATGTGAGCCACTGTGCCTAGCCTGCATAAGTCTATTTCTGGGCTCCATATTCCATTCAGCTGGTCTATTTGTCTATTCTTTCACCAATGCCACATTGTATTGTTTATTATAACTTTATCATAACTCTTGAAGTCAGCTGTGACAGTCCTCCAACTCTGTTCTCTTTAAACATTGTGTTGGCTATTCTGGATCTTTTGCCTTTCCAAGTGAACTTTAGAATCAGTTTGTTGTTATCCACATGATAACTTGCTGGGATTTTTATTGGGATTGTACTAAATCTGTAGATCAAGTTGAGAAGACCTGACATCTTGACAATACTGAGTCATCCTGTGCATGGTCATGGAATATATCTCCATTTATTTAGTAGTCCTTCAATTTCATCAGTTTTGTAGTTTTCCTCAGGCAGTTCTAGAGAGAGAGATAGATAGACAGATAGATAGATTAGATAGATAGATAGATAGATAGATAGATAGATAGATAGATAGATAGATAGATAGATAGATATCTCAGTATTTCTTGGGGGAATGCCAATGTAAGTGGTATTGTGTTTTTAATTTCAAATTTCACTTGTACATTGCTGGCATATTGTAAAGTGCCTGAGTTTTACATATTAATCTTGTATCCCGCAACTTTATTATAACTGCTTACTAGTTCCAGGAGTTTTTCAGTTGATTCCTTCAGATTTTCTATAGACAATCATATCATCTGTGAACAAAGACAATTCTATTTCTCCCTTTCCAATCAGTACACCTTTTATTTCCTTTTCTGCCTTACTGCTAATATTAGCTAGGACTTCCAGTATGATGTTAATCAGTGGTGAGAAAGGACATCCTGATCTTAGCAGGAAAGCTTCTAGTTTCTCATCATTATGATGTTAGCTGAAGGACTTTTGTAGATGTTCCTTATCAAGTTGTAGAAGTTTCCCCTCTATTCTGAGTTGGCCGAGTTACCATAAATGGGTGGTAGACTTTAGGTTATCAGATTTGTGGGCATAGAGTTGTTCATGGTATTCTTGGACTATGTTTTCTTTGTGGTTTTTGTTTGTTTGTTTTTTAATTAAAACACTGAGATTTATTTCACATGTATATTTTTGTCTCCCCACCATTTCCATGTCTGACCACCACTACTATGTCCTATCATGACATTCCATACATACTTAAAACCAAGCTAAGGGTGAAGTTGCATCTTTAAAAACTAAACAGGTATTGTGGACAACACATTCTTGGCAATGGAACCTGGACAACACTTATCAAACACGGTAGGGAAAGTTCTCACTCTGCGTTATAAAAAGGACAGCCAGATTTCAACTGTTACAGAAATGAAATAAGATGGAAAATTTTTAACAAATTGCTTAAACTATTTTCTTAAAGAGACTTCCTCCACTGCCAGAGATCTTGAATAGCCTCCTGATCAATCATCCAGAAGCAATTCTTCACATAATTAATGAACGTGGCTTCCACTTTGGGAAGAGAACCACCTTTTTCTATACTTGCTTGCATTTTTGCTTTAATGTCTTCTACAGAACTAGGTCCTTTTGGTGTTTTAGGAGTTTTTTCCTGTTTTTTGAAGGATTCTTGTCCTTTTGATCTTGGTGTTGATGCTTTTGAGTCTTTTCCATTCTGATTTGACTTTTGTGCATTTTATGGCTGAAATATCTTGTATAGATTTCTTCACTGGCGCTTTTTCTTCAGCTTCCTCATCATCAAAATCATCATCATCTTCATCTTCATTAGCAGCAAGTTTTACTTTTTTCTGTGGAACCCTGCTACCACCTCAGGGGCAGACTGCTTTCCAGATATACTTAAGAGTTTCACATCCTCCT